TTAAGTACCAATAGCATGAAGAAGGCCTTCGCTGAAATCGACGACGCTGTCGGGCAACCAAATGTAAGAACTTACCACGAAAGCGTAGCCTTGTTTGACGGCAATTTCTCGAATACGTCCAAATCCATGGAAGAACCTTTCTATGTCCCTTTCTCGTGTACTTCTGGAGAGCCTACCTAAGTAGATCCTTCCCATTTTGTAGCGAAAAGACAAACTTCTCTCTCCGCTTTCAAGATGGCGTTTTCTTGTCTGAAAACAACCGCGTGACCGCATTCATAAGTCTGGGGACTAGAGGGCTCAAATCTTGATTGGCTGAGAGGTTGCGCTAAGTCACGTGACCTCTCTAACTTAGGCCATAGCCGAAAATTGGGCATTTTTACCACCGTCCATTGAAAATATAACGTGCAAAATCTGCTACGATCAATTTCAAATTTTTTTAGCCCTTCAGAGATAAATTTCCCACAAATCTACCGTGGAACATGACCTCGATTTTGCGTTGTTAAGAAAATACAGCGTTGTAAACCTAGCCACGGGAAACCTTCACATCCAATCCGAGGGGTTTAAAATTAACAAAATTTCAAGTCAATTATAGCTGTTACCCCCATAAAACTAAAATTTTTGCACTATGCTTTCCACTATTCAAGTTTAAATTTCCTTAAAGTGAGGCTGAAATTTTTCAATATTCCTTAAAATTCCTTAAACCGGAATTCTATTTTCTTTGAATATTTCCTTGTTAGTTTTGTCCCAAAATTTGGTCATACCATGACTAACAGTTAGTATGCATCTACAAATTTTGAACGATTAATGAAACAGTCAAATAATCATCATAAATTATAAAACATGAAAAGGGGATCCTCTAGCCAGGTATTCCGAAATTTATGCTAGTTATCTTTTATCTTTCCTGTTGCTAAAGCTGCTCTTTTACCGTCAAAAAAATTTCGCTTCACCGTGACGATAGATCAACTCGAAATTAAGTTTTAGCCCAAAGAAACGATCTGACTCATTCAAAAATACGGAAAAAGTTATTAAAAAACACGCGTTTCCTTTAGAATCGGTGATGGGTCAAAAGCGCTAAAGGCTCAATAATTGCAACCTTCAGATATAATAAAATCAAAAACCGACAACCTCTTGGGTTGCTAACTTTTTCGTTGCTAACTCATAAGACGCTATATCTTCGCTATTACATTACACATCTGAAAAAGCAAACATTGAAATTATGTTGAACTTTTGGAAAACAAATTAATACTCTAAAAATTGCTTGAATCTTGCAATTCCTTAAAAAAATTCTTAAATCTTGTAATTCCTTAAAAAAATCATCGTTAAGTCGAAAAATCCTTGATCAAAGGAAAATTCTAAATTTTATATTGTCTTTCCTGTGAAAATTGAATGCACTTTTGGCATTTGTCTTTAAAAATAGCTGCTACAGTCGTAAAAAGATTGACCCCATTGTACTAAAATTTGGTAATCACTCTTAGCAATAATGTCAATTTGGAAGAACCAGCGACATCGCAAAAGACCGCATTGAGCTAGCAGGGTCCTTGGCTTCCCCCTTCTTAGTTTTGAAAACCTACTTAATTTTTATCTACAGTAACTGATTTTCCTATTTGCAATTCAATTAACTACAATGAAAGAATAAAGCCACTGGTAAAAGCTTCATCCGCTTCAAATTTAGTATTTAGCCCTTGGTAAATCCCGTACCTGGGTAGATAGATACTCTTGGCAGGGACACCGAAAGGTTTGTGAGGCCCCGAGGCAACTGCAACACTAAGAGTGAGACCTATGCTAGCAATGTGAGGCCACGGATATAACTGTACTACCATTGTCTGATGAAACATTACTGATATCGCAAGTATAAACTTTGCTTCCAAGATATGACACGAAGAGAATAATTGACGCTTTTTCAGTGACAGCAACTGTGAGATACAAAGAAAAGGCTGTTATAAAACACGACAAGGAAGAAGCCTTAAGGATAATACCATCAACTTGATAGGAAAAACATGAACACATATATCTTGCCAGTTATTGTTGTTTTTAAACATTTGTTGTTGCTAGTAAATAAGCTGTTGATTCAACATTAGTACCCTTATACCACCTTTTTTCTCCCTTGCTTCAAATTTGAGACAATCTATAAATAGCACTTGGGGGCTTTTTTCATTGGGGTCTGTATGTCATCTTTTTGAGCATATCAAGCTGCCCATCTCTACCAATCTTCATGCTGGTATCACAACTAGCAGCGATATTATTAGAATGAATGCTTTTGGGGCCTGGGACCCAATACAACGTTCTAAAAATAGCACTTGGGGTATTTCTCAGCTGGGGTCTGCATCACATCTCGTTCAGCGCCCAAAACTACCCTTGTGGACGAAGTTTCATCCTGGTATCCGATTTCGCACAACATTTTGGCTAACAGCCCTGACTAAGGGAAAATTTCAACACTAAGAGTCAAATGGAAAAAAGGTTTGAGCCTCTTGGCCTTAAAAATGTTGACCTTTCCCTTGTCTTTTAAAGTGTAAAGTCAATGGCTTTATTCCTATAGATTAAACAAAAATGACATCGAATGCCAATTGATGATTGCTTTCTTCATAAGGCAAAATCTAACTAATTCAAATTTTTCAATTATATACCTTACTCGATTGAAATTTCTAACAGACTTGTGGGCTTAGCATGTGAGAAGCGAGCTGAGCTTTTTCAAAAAATAGAATGAATTTCTAGGGGAGAGGATACTCTGATTTATATCGGATATCATATGTAAAGGATACATACATGGTGTAATTAGACTGCGCTATAAAATTTTTTTTTCAGATAATAATAACCAAAACTGAGCCAAAAAAGATCATAACAATTAATCCCTTACCCGGTTTTGTTTCGACATTCTCTAAAATTTGAGTTCCAAGTGCCATACAAAGAACAAGTTTTTACCCAAATTCTGAAATCAAAAAGCACCCTTTCCGTCATTAAAAATACAAGAACATCACTTGGGGGAATAGATACAGTGGGTGAAAAATGTTCGTGCACCTACCTTAAATCTTGGAAAGATGTAATCTCTCCCAAAGTTGATGAGTTCCTTTTAAAAATACGTTTTGCTGCGAATTAGTTCAATATAATTTCACCACAGTCTTGCCAGGCTTCAAAACTTAACAGGTTCGCGAGATTTTGAGGCTGTCGAGAGATCTTGTGATGTACCTTGGAAATATAGAAGATTGACTAACGTTTTTTCATTTGTAACATCATGAAATTACACACAATTGAGCAGAACCTATTGCAGAGACAAAGGTAGTGCTAATCGAAGAATGACTTTAATTGTATGATATCCATTTTAATCTTGTATACCCTCGGCGGAGATCATGTTGCTTATGCAAAAAATCGATAGAAATCTTTTAGTTTTGGTGGAAATCTCTTTGGCACCTCCACTCCCAATAACATTATCACGTTGACATTTCACCTCCTTATGGTACAGGCATTTTGCTGTGTATGAAAATAACAAGGGAGGCTCTTGCATACCCCTAGGTACAGGCCCCAGTAGTTTACGGAAGCCAAAGAGAAATGAATATAAAAGTACAGTGGAATCCAGATATAATGAACCCCGGATATAACGAACTTCCCGGTATAACGAACTAAATTTCTGGTCCCTAGATTCTGCCTAACAAAATCCTTACAAATTATCTCTGTATAACGAACCCGGATATAACGAACTCTCGTCATAATGATCTAAATTTTAGGTCCCTTCATCATAATTACCCTCGATTGTCATTAATGCCATAAAAAATATACATTGGCAAACATGCACAGGCAATGGAGATGAGATGTGTGCAAAAGTAAAGGTTTTATGACATTTCAGTAAACAAAGCAAAAATACAGAAGACTATACAGATATTGTTGCTCCAATATTGTAAGCGAAATATAAAGTGTCGTGAAGAAGATTTTTATTTGAATTCGACTATAGAGTACCGAAGTGATGACATCACAAAAATCTATTTTTAGAATTTTCAACTTTTGATCCCACAACCTGAAAGAGCATCATGAAATACCGCTAAATATGCATAATGAGTAAAATGGGCTACAAATTGGAGGTGAAATGGCCACATGAGCACAGGCTCTTGCCCTATCAAACCTCTGTAATTTCGTCTTGGTTCATAACTTTTATTTATGAACCAGGCCAGAATAACAGTAATCCGTTAGCAAACTTGAAATCTTTCATTGCCCATATCTCGCCCAATTTTGAATATATTTAACTGATTTTGCACATTGAGAAGTTTTTTATGCCGTTCTTTTAGATTATGTGGTCAAAATTAAGAAATTCTAAAAATATATTTTCGATGACGTTACACTTCAGTACTCTATATTGAATGGAGTAAAATGTGCACAAAAGTTGGGGATAGCTTAAACAGGTTCACCGATGGTGTACTGCGAAAAGACCCAAAAACCAACTATTTTCAGGTTCCATTCAGGGAATATAGGGATTCCACTGTATGTACAAGTACGTGAAATACCGTAAAAGCTCTATTAAGCCCCCCTCTCTACACCCCTCTCATTTAAGCCTCCCTTATCAAGCAATAACTTTGAATAAGCCCCCGCTCTATCAAACCTCCCTTCTGAAGCCTTTGATGTCAAACAAAGAAAACATGCGATGGTGATAAGATCGTGAGGATTAAATACGGCCCATGTAAAGACTCACATGTGCGACTTAGAAGTCAGTCCAAATTTGTTTTGAAGATGTCCAAGGGTTAACAATTTATCGTGGCGATGCTGATGAAGAGGAGGACCCCTTATAATTGATTAATTAAACTTTCGAAGCTGCTAGCAAAGATTTTTTAAAACATTTGTACGACATTTTATTAAAACATATGGGCCCAATGGCTTTGTACGAAGAGAATGTCTGGTACGTAATATGAGCTCAGTAAAGAGCGGTAGCAAGAAGGATTGGGCTTTTCTATGAAGATGTTCATAAAGAAGAATTATCGGAATATAGGGTCTCGGTGAGAAATTACTCTCGTTGAGATTGTCATTGATGATGATTATCGATCACTCACAATGATTCACGATGATTAACACTGCTTCATGATGATCAATGCTGGTTCACAATCATTTGCATTCATTCACAATGGTTCATGATTATGCAGAGATATCGCAAACTTGAAGAGCGCGAATGTGAAGAATCTAGTTCGGATGTTCCGATTGACCTCGTGTCATATGCGTCCAGGAGATATTTGACTGCATCAATGAATCACGGGTCGCCTAAGGTCAGGGAACGCTCTTCTAAAAATATGACATCTAGCAAAACATGGTACCTCTACGGATTCTTCAAGGAGATTGTTTCAGCGGTATCGAAGAGCTTTGTTTTTTGAATTTTATAGAATAGAAAACCTTAATTTCCACAATAGGCATTTCTTACATTGTACGGGTGCACAATTGCTGGATGGTGTGCTGCAGCTTCCTTTGAAACTGTGCCAACTTCTCTTTTGGCAAGGCCAAAATAAAAATTTGCAAAAGGTATTTTTAAAACAGTTCGCTTCAATTTATAAAAAGCCCTTTAGGTCTGAAAAAACAAGCACTGAGGCTGGGGAGGCTGTGATAGATTCATGAACGAAACTCGTGATTGGCTGGTGGACACAATGTGTGTTGTGTTTAATTATACTCATTTCTATCCACTCAAAACCACTTGCCAAATTCAAAAATGGCGGGTGACATGTGCACGGAGCTGCGGGTACTTCATGCTTTTATGCTTCATGCTTGATTCTGGCTCAGTAGCGCATTGAAAGACAAAATTTATGAAATTTTCCTAAACATCAGCCATTTGCTCTACATTTCCTATACGCTACACAGTAGAATTGCAACAAATATGTGTTGAATAAAGCTTGATACTCTTGGCCTAGATTTGAAAGGGGTATACCCCTAAACAACCGGAAATACGAAATAATCACAACAATAAACAGTAAAAGTCTAATTGAATCATGGACCACCTAAATTTGACAACTGGCTTCAGGACTTGCATTTGTCCAGTTTGTGGTATTTCGGTACACCAGGACCATATCTCTCATCATGTGGAACAACATTTTTCCAGCACCTCAGAACATGGAACGCAACAAGAACTGGCGGAGCCGCCCCAAAGAACCCCAGCAGGTAACGTCAATTTTCTTTTTACAAGCAGAAATTATTATAGAAACTATTGAAATTTCCTTTTGATCAAGATATCTTCTCTATTTTGTTCACAATGAGTATTTAGTAAGCCATTTTCTCATAATTTTTCAAGTATATGATTTTTAATTTCGTATTGTATCGAATGTTTAGGTACTTCAACTGCTGTGCATGCCAGTCCGTGCTGGGATGAAGGGGAAAGCATGAAAATATGCACATATGCCAACTGCCAAGATCTAGGTAAGAAGACTAAAAGATTGCATCAAAAATTTAGCTGCATACCTAGTATTTTCAAGTGTATACAGATAACATTTTCAGAATTGAGTGAGATACCAGTCTGACTGGTATAAAAACGTTTGTTGTATGTAGAAATCACACATACCAAAATTGATTGACTACTTTAGTTGACTCTGTCATATTTCAATATCGTGATGATTTCAGGCCAATCCACTACCATACAAATGAATCTAAAAAAGATGTGAATGTAAAGAAAGCTGCTACCATGTATTAAGATTTTTAGAGATTACATTAGGAAAATAAAGTTGAATATCTAAGAGATGTAATACGTTTAGAACTGCCTTATGTATCTTTTAAGAAATTGTTCTCGGGGATAACCTTTCTTAATAATATGAAACACCCTAAAAAGGTTTTCATAAGAACATACATAAACAAAAGGAGCTTTCTTATTTAACAATGCAAGTATTAAAATGTAGCAACAAGTAGATTATTTGTTTATGATTTTTTAAAGAGATTTTTTTTTCAGTGTTTGCCTCAGAGTGGGATGACCATATGTTTGCACATATGCTGGAAGATCAAGATGATGCAGAGCTTATGTCTCTTGCAACTGGGCAGTCCTTGTCAGTATCAAATGGTATTTTATCACAGCAGATGCAGCAGCAGTCTTGTTTAAATGATAATTTGTTGGCTCAACTTTCTCAGCAGGAGCTGGACTCAGCTTTAGAAACTGACCTACAACTGCACGAAGATTGGTTATCAGCACATGACATTGAAAAAGAACAGCAAAGACTAAGGGAGGAAGAAGAATTCAAAAAATTGCAAGTAAGTGTTCTTTCTTTCTTTCTTTCTTTCTTTCTTTCTTTCTTTCTTTCTTTCTTTCTTTCTTTCTTTCTTTCTTTCTTTCTTTCTTTCTTTCTTCTTTCTTTCTTTCTTTCTTTCTTTCTTTCTTTCTTTCTTTCTTTCTTTCTTTCTTTCTTTCTTTGCGTAATTTGAAGAATTCTTACCTTCATTTTACATTGCAGACAATTTATGGCATGCTACCGAATCAAGGTGGTTATACGAAGCAGTATGACCAAAAAATGAAACAGGATGTAGGAAAAATGAAGATGAGTGTAGGTGAATATTATGCAAGAAAAGCTGATATGTACGAAACACTTATGACTGGGCATGATAGCAAGGAATCACACACCCAAGGTAAGTCAAGTGATTTTCTTTATCATTGGTTTCAGCTATTGGTTTTAGTTTCTGCTATCAGGAACTCTTAATGTACATGAAGCAGATATTCAAGACTATTTGCAGGTAACATATTAACATAAAGTTTATATGTTTTAGTGTATGTATCTGAGGATATCATGTTTAAAGTTCTACTCAACACTGTAGTTCTTGATGTGTTCATAGCTTTTCAACCATGTTCAGTACCACATATCTGGATAGTCTAATTAGCCAATTTCTCAACATAAAACTTTGTTTTTAATTATTTGCATCAATTAAGTTTTTATTTGACATATATTGTCTTTTCGATAAAGCTTTCTGTTGATTAATTATTGTCTCTACCATATCAAATTAATTTGGCCACCAGTCAAATACTTAATAAATAGTTTTTGAAGAAATGCTTTCATGTATGAGGTGTGAAAAGGGAAATCTAAACAGGAAAAGCATTGAAAAACACCCATAATCATTATAGGAAGTGCTTTAAAAAATGCCAACCAAGAAAATTTGTGTATATATATTTAACACATAATATGATTTGTATGTACAAACTTTTACTTGCCTGCACCTTTGCTGAAATTGGATTGTTTTGTATAATCATTAAAGGGGAGAATAATTCTAACAAATGGTGTAGAATGTCTTATTTTGTTTGAAAAGTTACTTTTGATTTTGAAAACATGTCTAAGTGGACTAATATTTCATAAAATCATTAATATTTGAATACTAACTATATCAATAGAACTAGAAGACTTTTCAATATTTTGAATAATCTGCTTCAAGAAATGAGTTTGCTTGCTGACACGTTTTAGGCCTCATATCCTGCCTTCAAGCTAGCTATTCAAATGGAGTCAGTGGTATCCGTACTGTGCAACTTTGCTTGGAGACAGATCATTTTGCAAGTGGTGTTGGTGATGCTGGTTGGGGGTGTGGCTATAGGAACACTCAGATGATCCTTTCTGCTCTGCTTCGCAGTAGTATTTACAGAGATGTGGTTTCAAAAGGTTAGCATGCACTAAAAGAATTTTGTAGGATGCTGAGGTGAATACCTGTTTGAAAATGAACCAAGCACTAGCAGTATACTGGATATTGCTAGAAAAGCAAAATGAAGATTTATTGCAGATTGAATTATTCTAAGAAAAGGTATCTCTATGAAGAAATGACATACTTGTTACTTATTAAGTTTTGATGGAATAGCTTTGATTTGCAAATACACGAGTTTAAGAATTTTTTCACAACTAGAACCTTGGTTAACTTCATGTACCTTTTTCTATTTTCAGGGATTGATGGGGGTGAAATACCCTCAATACCAAAAATTCAGTCAATGATTGAAAATGCATGGCAACTTGGTAATGTTTTTTCTTTCATAAATATGACCTATTAAAATTTTATGGCATATGGCTGTTGTTTATCTGAGTGGAAATTTTAAAGCCTTTTAGAAAGGAAAATATAAAAATTTGCAAAGAAAGAGAAAAGGTTTAAATGACAATAAAATATGTAAACATAATTTTTTGCTAAGGCACAATTGGTCTTTATCAGAGTTAACAAACAAGTCATTTTTTTAAGTGTAATTGGTCTTTAAAAGGCTGACTATCTTGAACTCATAAGGTCTTAGGTGGTGACAGAATCCAAGTCCTGTCTTACAGCCTAAATCACATTTTATTTAAGTGCTAATCTCAGTTGCACAGGGCGAATCTTAGATCTCTAGTCTCAAACCGGTGTGCTTGGTCCAAGTCCATGCTCTGGTATGAAATGCATCTACAGTTACGAGATTCCAGAATGGCAAATCCCAAAGTGTGACCACATCTCAAGGAATGTTCCCAAAAACCTCTTAAATAGCATAACATAAAAAGGACCAAACTTCAAGATTCCAAGCCATTTACATCAGCTTTTTTGTAGTTCTATGTCAATCAGCCAGTTTATTTGAAGCCAAAACAAACAATCAATCAATCAACTAATCAAAAGTTTCATATTTCAAATCATTTAGGTCAACCACTTGCTAGATGCAAAATTTCAATGTCACTTTATATTTCCTCTCAATATACATATTAAGTATAAACCTTCAAAGGGTGTCATTTACTAGTTTTTATGAAGAAAATGACGTATAACTTTGCAGGATTCGATAAACAAGGCGCAGAACAGCTTGGTAACAAACTTCATAATACAAGCAAATGGATTGGTGCAACAGAAATTGCTGCACTTCTGCGATCATTAAGAATAAGGTGAGCCGAAAGAAAATAACTGTGAAGGGGTATAAGCCATGTTGACTCCAGCGTGAAAGATGAACTGCTCATTGATGATATTAAGCAGAAAAGGGCTTGAAATATAGCTATAGCTTGTTAATCTAACGCTACCATACTTATTAAAGGCTGTGATTGCGAGTTACTTCCCATTTGCTGGGAAAAACGTCTCTACAAGGGAATATAGGCCGAACATGGGATATAAACCCACGATTGCAATCAGCTCAGCTACGATACAAAACAGCATGTGCTGCAAGTAGGATAGTTTAGACCTTGTATTGTAGGATTGTAACTGACGGAGCGTGGGTTGTAGAGCCATGACTCAACAGAGAGAACCCTCTGTTCATTAGAGTCTAAGAGTCCGTCTTCACCGAAACTTTTTCAAATGAACTTCTTAAAATAATAATTCTTTGCATTTTCATTTCCGGTTTCCAAGGACAACAGTAAATCTGTGACTGAAAATGTAAAAATAAAAAATCATTATCCAGGGTTTTTAATTGTTTGGAAAACAAAATTTACGTGTACACACGAAACACTTAATTCGTTCTTATTGAGCTGAGAACACAAGCGTCCTAATGCTTTCGTCGTGCCCAAACAATATTGGCAGTTGGTTTAAACTTCTTATACATTTAAACTTCTTTGCATGAATACAATATATTGATCACTGTAAAGTTTCGACAGAGAAAAAGGATTGAAAAAATGATATAGATAACATATATTTCCCATTTTGCTCAAACCCAGAGATACTTGTGAAAAATTCTGTGCAGCTTTTGCAGATTGTGTCATAACACATTATCAATTTCGTTAGTGTTAACTGGAATGTATTGATTCTGTTGTGCCAGTTTAGGTTTTTGCTGGCAATACGCAAAAAGTTGATTTTGGTATTAATTATGATAGCTGGGTCTTCTTATGAGTAGAAGGAAATATGCTTCTTTGTCACCAGCCTTGGTTATGACACTCTTCAAACTAAATGTCATACATCAAAAGGTTTTTATATGATTCAAAATCTGAAATTGTTAAGAATTTTGTTCCAGTTAAGCAATAATAAATTACCTTTTTCAGGGCAAAGTTGGTTGATTTTCATGAAGCAACAGGAAGCGACGGAACACACCCCAGAATGTTCACATGGATACATCAATATTACAACAGGATAAGCAATTCTCACGAGCCATCTCCACCGCTGTTTCTGCAACATCAAGGTACAATTTGCTTTACGGGGTGTTTCAATCCAAGACAATCTTGGAATGAAACAGTATGTAGAAGGGATACCTGCAGTTAGGGTATCTAAGTAGAAAGAGGACAAGGAGAGATGTGTAGAAGCAAGTTTTTGCATAAGGGAATGTACAAGCTGGGGCTCTTGGACATAAAATTTTCGGGCGCGTGCCTCTACCATGCTGTGGTTACTTAAAAGAATACTTTAAATTTTGTCCAGCCTCAATATTCTTAAGAACTTTTGGAAAACAGACAACTGCTGAAAAATGAGACACGAATTTGCGAGCTGAGGCTGAGCAATATTCTTATAATATTCTTAAAAATTTGATGATTCTGAGCTTGAATATTCTTATAAACAATATTTTTATAAAAAAGGAGTGTACCAGATAAGACTCCTGAAGTAAAAAATCAAATTAATCATGCCGTTGCGTCCTACTCAAAAGGCTGCTAGCTCTGTAGCAAAGTCGCTGATAAAGATAACATGTAGAATAGCTATAGCGGCTTTGTTATCAAAAATACCCTTTTATACTGCTTATTTTGGTGAAAACTGGCCCAAAAAAGAACAGAAGTTCCAAATCTGTAGGCACAGAGCAAGAACCGCATGAAATTTGAAGAAAGCATAGCATTTCTGTATAAATCCTAGATCACTCTAGGGTGAAGCTAGAAAGGCTGACTAAGAAAATAATAGCGTTCCGCGACAGAGCCAATGTAAGTTGTAGACCATCGATTACCATAAACTACAAAATGTCAATCAAAAGATGACCAATCAACGATCTCTGTCTGACCTCCGAAAAATCACAAGCAGGTCTCTTATTGTAGAAACGCTATAGAACACCGAATGTTTCGGGTGCTTGCAGACATTGATGTTCCATTTCACGGAGTGCGTTTAAAGTTTTGGTTAAAGATGTCTTTCCCGTTCATTCGCCAGTTTTCGACATACCGACAGAAAGAATAACCAATTTCGGTGACCTTCATAATGTCAGTTCAGGGCACACCGAGGAACTCTAATGTGATTAAAAGTATAATTTAATATTTCAGTGGTAAGATTCGGCATAGTGGACATTAAAACAGACTTTAATAGGCCTAATTAGATTTACTCAAATCAGTTCTTTGGTTCCAGGTCACAGTCGCCTGTGCATCGGTGTCGAGGAACATCCAAGAGGGGAATGTCCTGTATATCTTTTGCTTTTTGATCCTTCCCACGCACCACGGCAAATGAAAGCGCTGCTGCAGAACGTCTCGAGCAACGTGAGTGCGCAGCTACGACTGCTGCGGAGGTCCTTGAAACAAATGAGGTCAAAACAATATCAGATATTGTATATCGACGGCCTTTACGAAGACGACTTGGAGATAGAGGTAAAACAATGCGAGGAAATAGTTATAATGATTCATATTTTGACACAAATGTTCTCTAGAAACATAATTGCTGGTCGGAAAGTTTAAGGCATTGGCAAAATGAATCCTGTTTTAAGCTTTGCATTGGGCTAGAAACATGATAATTTCTTGAGACTTGTTTTAGTTTGCAGGCAACGCAGTTTGGAAATTTTCAACGGTTTCAAAGTCATGTCTTATCCCCTGCGATAATCTTTAATCTTCTGTTATAGAGAATGCAGGTTTCTTATATTCCAGTGGCCAAACAATAATGAGTGAAAAATATTCAAGCTAATATAACGTCAAGTGATTTAGTCTTCATACAGGAAAGGCCATATCTTGAACTGCTTGCACAAAATTGCTAAATGCTTCTATGTTTTTCAAGATTTGATTTATTTATTTCCAAATCAGTAAGAGTTCTTAATTGTTTGTAAAATTATTTTTGTTTTTCTTTCTAGCAAAGCAAACAACTGGAGTCTCTAAGAGTTCCTTAGCTCTTCACACCGCGACTAGTTGCTTCTTGATCAATGCGCTAAACGACAACAGATGGAAAAAGAATGTTTTGATTGAAAACCAGAACAGCAACTGCGCCAAAAGGTGCTTTCTTGCTGTCTGCTTTAACAATCCAAGGGCGGTTTATGCGATTTCTCATACCGGATTAATGATCGCTAAACAACCGTTATTCCCATTAAAGACAATATTATATCCATTTTTAATTATCTCTTGGCAGTATTTTAAGTGAATTTCTGCCTACTTACATATAGATAAATTAAATTTTTTAAGTAAGCTCGCAACTCTCCCCCTCATACATGCTTTCAGCGATGTCCAGGTCATAAACAGCGACATCTAGAAAAGATTCAACAACAGGCTTGCTTCCGATGTACCATCACATGTTGAAGTGAAGATAAGCTCGGTTTAAGCATGTCGAACGTTTCTAGACCTGAGCTCCAGATTTAACCAATGTGTTGTATTAGCATATAGCACGTTGAACAAAGTTTTGTTAACAAGTGTTTTAACTTCGAATATAATATGTATTTATGCAGCTTTGTCTAAATTCCTTTTTAGTGACGGCTCCAACTGATGAATATCAATAATAGATGTTTACTAATTATTTTAGCTAAAAAATAATCTATAAAAAAGTAATACAATACGATATCAAGTAATACAAAATCAAGTAAAGTTAACACAAATGGCAAAAGTTTTCTGATATTGTTCATAAAGATTTGGTTAAGGTGCAGTTTGCTTCAAAATTTAATATTGTCACTTTCAGATTTTCAGATTTTGAATTTCAGGTTTCAGAAAAAAATTTTCAGAACTTCCTCAACCAGTGGTGGCGCCAGGGGAGGGCTAGTAGGTTACAGCCCCTCCATCGGAAGCATCTAGCCCCCCCCCCCAATCGGGGGAAATTTTAGCTTATTGTCGGAGCAAATTTGACAAAATAACGTACGAAAACTGCATATATTAGTCATTTTAGCCTCCCTGTCGGAAATTCCAGCCCCTCTGTCGGAAGATTTCTGGCGCCACCTCTGCCTTGAACGTGTCGCAAACCAATACTATATATGTAACGAAAGCCTTAGTCATGTAATAATCATTATATTTTCTTATGTCTAACTTTACTTGCAATACTTTAATGCAATACTACAATACTACAAACCAATGTAAAGGTTTGGTTTTAAAAGTTTAGCCATTGAGATAGTTTACTTTACCTCTAGCTTCTTTTTAGCCATAACTTGCTTAATGTTAACAATTAACTTCTTATCGCCTATTTACATGTTTGCTTTGAATTTTGAATCTATCGCCTCGTGATTTTTGTGCAAATTTTTCAAAATAAAAAAATAATAATGTCAAGCTCTTATTAAAATTTCCTAAGAATAGGATGTTTGTATTGTTTCTATTACCTGAATTTTTTCACTTGCCATTCGAATTAATATTTTTGTGTATTACTCAGTTTATTTCTCTTAATATTTTAGCTAATATCTGAGCAATAACATGTAGAATGATGGAAAAGCGTGCTTTTTTACTTTTAGTTTTCTACACAGATCGTAAAGTCGGTGACGTAGTATCAATGTATGCCATGCATGCAGGGCGAGCTTAAGAAAACCCGGGATGCTTTTAATTTTTTTTAATATGCTGGATATGAAAGGCACAATAAAGAATTTTATGTTCGGGTCGTAATTTAACGTGGATAAGCGATGATGTTTAATTTCAAAATTTTTGAGTTGCAAGCAGAAAGTCTGAAAAACACCACAGAATGTGTCTTAAAGGCAATCTGTCACGACGTTGATTGGTTACCAGAACAAAGGGATTTTTATTGTTTCCAGTCCCCCTTTAATTTATCGCATTGTAAAAAATATGGCGGAGCGCTGGAATCGTGTTTAGGCTATTGTTCCAGCTATTGTTCTCGTTAACCAATCCACAACGAGACAGATTGCCTTTAATGTGCAAACTTAGTCACATCTGGCAAAAAGTGACTGACACATCCCAATGAAAGACCGAAGTTTTCATAAGGATTACTGCTTTCGGATTGGCTAATAAACTCTGGAACGAAGACCAACTGTCATTTATTAACAGAGGTCTAATACCATGAAAAGATAAGGGGCTTCCAAAAAATTCTAGAAAACAATAGCAAAAGTAGAAAAGGGCTACGTTTCGGCATTAACATGGGGGTTGAGGCCTACCCCGCCCTCATTTCCACATTCCAGTATTTAACTGGGATTCAGTTTCTCACATGTTTGACTATTCTTAAACCTTCTTTCAAATCATTTAGTCCAAATCCAAAAGATTATAAAGCCATATCCATAAAGCCACCAATAAGTCACTCTTTTTATTGAATTTCAGAATGTATTATATATATTTATATTCCTTATAAAAATAGCGTTGCCTAACTGCAGTAGCAGCCAAAGAAGAAAAACATAGTCGATAATAGGTATCAATTTAATTCATGGGCACTTTATTCGTAAGAAATAGAGGAAGGTACCTTTTCTCTTCCGAAATGTAACAATCCCTGCCAAAAGTCCTTGGAACGCTTTGTTGCTTAAATGTTTTTCAATGAAAAATAAACTGTTTCCGGGAGAAACGACCGACAGCACATCCCCTGTCCTAAAATAAAAGGTTGGTTGTAAATTTAGATTTCAGAATTATCAGAAAAGAATCAATTGAAGCACATATAACATCATGGGGGGAATCCAGAGCAAATTTGAAGGAGGGGAAGTTGGTAGTGGGGGCGCTGGAAAGTTTTAAAAAATTGGTGACATGAGTACGCTGTATACAACAATTTCAGATACCCTTCAGAATAAACAACATACCTTTGAGGTAATCCTTGAAGCAAATAAACCTATCGGTCCAAGAACCTTTTAATCTGATTCTCATTCTTCAAAAGGGGCACACAATTTCCAAAAAAGGGGCGCCAGACTTGCTTCAACTCGTTGAGGAAAGGGCAACTGCCCCTAGTTGCTCCTCTCCCTTAAAATCCGCCATTGTATAGCGATGTACTTGACACAAATAACATAGTTTGAAAAGGCAGAGGGCAGGAGGAAATGGAGAGGGGGCACGGAATGAGGTTGTTAATGTGGGGTTGCAAGGATTTGTAGACTTATACTGTAATAATAGGATATGATTTTTATTTCTACGTAATAAACTTGTAGGACAAAATCTGTAAGGAAAGCCCAATTGACAACATTTGATTTGATTTGTTTCTACCTAGCATCCGAAAAGTAGTTTTAGGACACTGAGAAGCTATGCTTATCGAGCAGTGTCCTGGTCCTTCCGCATGACCACAACTCGTGATTCCTACGCCTGGAATTACAGAGAGGTGTCGAACAGACTTTGCCAGAAACTTTGCTAGTCAGAAAGAGTTTGTTACTAAGGTTATTATCTCTCTACGCATAACAAATGAATGGTCAGCACGTGAGTACAATAATCTGTCTTAGTGGAACTTTGATAAAATTTAAGAGAGGCGTCATAAAAGTACACAAATTATTCTATTGGAACCCATTGGTGTAAAAGACGTCTAGACAACAGAAATTTTAAAATAACGGATACCTTCAAAAAACGGACATCCTCAAATTACGGACACCTCCAAGTAACGGACGCCTTCAAATAGGGGACATGTCCTAACAACAGACACGTCATTAAACGGATACTTCTAGCTGTGAAGAGGCAAAGGCTTGGGCTCTCACGGTTCTATACCTATCAATATCTGAGGTCACATGTCTAACAATATATTCAGTACCTAATCTCGTTCATTTAAACCTACCATATAAAGACAACGAGAACAACTTTCACCAGTGGTATCACGGGGGAGGGGGGGCTCAACCCCTTGTTCAAATTCAGAAAGACTTTAGGGACCCAGGTCCCATCCTTAACAAGCCATTATATGTTTGGCTTTGGCGAATTCCCTACTTGGCAATGTGAACTAACCTTATGCTATTGATTATCCATGAATTAGCGATTTCCTATAGCCCAGACGGAAAATAGTTTGAACGATTTCATATACACAACAGAGTATCTTTAACACTAATGAAAGTACACATAGGGTGTGACAATGAGTGGGGTCTTGTGGCTTCTAGAGTAGAGCACAGCCCCCCTTTTCTTACTTTTTTGGACGGCATCCCTGAGCATCAATAACGCATGAATTGTCTAAAATCGTTGTTCGTTGTAAGAAATCATTTTAGAAATCCATTTTAGAAAACGCGGAAAGGCTTGAATTGAATACATAATATGGATGGATCTGTTTGAAGCTTTTCGTGCATCTTTCAAGCTAAAAACATTGGAGCATTTGAAGAGAGACAAAGAATCTAGACAGGGGTCTGCGGCATCAGCATGAACCCTCTTTGGCTACGCCCCTGGTTTTACCTCGGGAGTAACTAAATAGGTTTATGGTAAAGGGACGTACCATTCAATAGGGGTACCTTTTTCTGATAAGAACGGAATAACCTGTATCACTTTTTGAAATATGTGCGGAATTATCAGTACCATTTCGAGAAACATACAGAAAAGTATGGGACATACAGGGACAGAACTATAGGTAAATATAGCAAAATTATTAGGAGCAAAATTTAGCATTAACAAAGTGAATGAATGTCCAGTCAGAAATGAGAATATAAAGATATGTGTAATAATGAGATTTCCGGGCAAAGTACATGCAAAATTTGTTTAATGATCTTGTTGTGTCTTGAAAAATAACTATTGCCTTGCGGAATTATGGCACGTCTGCGTCCAAAAATATGTTTAGTTATCCCCCGAGGGTTGTACATTAAGAGTCTATTTTCTATAACTATGCATAAGGTCAACTATGTGGTAGAAAAATTGAAGTTTCGTAGTTCATCTTATTTGACAATAATTAACATTTCTGTAGATGCATTTAGCAAGATCTGTAAGCTGATCGACACTCCAAAATTCATGTGCTAGTGTCAGCTAGTTGGAGCGAAAATGTTTGCGGTAATCCTCACGATACCCAAAATTCACCATTCTATTTAGTTTCCAAAATGATTTTGTTATTGCGGTATCAAAAAACATATATTGGTTCGAAAAATACCACGTATGCATTAATAATAAACAATGTTGAGGATGCAACCTTTAGGATTACAAGTTACTGAAAAGTCAATCAAATATGGCTTGGCTTGCTTAATCAGTTTGTAACGAATAGAATTCAGTTTTTCCATTATAGCATCTCACACACCCAAAGATTTGAACACCTGGTGCCTTCTCTCCAATTACTTGGAAAAACACTAAAGCAAATACAACGCAGTAAGGTGCATAAAGGCAAAAAGAAAAAGTTCCAAAAGTTGTTCTCTTTCATCATAGTTTTATAATGGTCGAAAAGATGTAGCTTATTTTCATCACAAGGGTGGACCATTGGTACAGCTAATCATTATGAATGTAACGAGCTAACGACTACTTCTGCAACAGAATAATAACAGTGTCGGCCAAGGACGCTTGCGTCAGGGTAGCCTGCGCCGCAGACCCAATCCTCCAAAGAGAAGAGATTGAATCTTTTTCTTCGCAGATTCAATCCTCTCTTTGGAGGAATAAATCTGCGGCGCAGGCTAGCGCCAGGGGGCAGCGAGGGCAGGCTTCCCTGGTGACGGCTGCAATGGGCACCGTGAGAGGAGACGCTGGGATACTCCATTGAGATACACCCTAGTGATATGTCATAAATGCGCTCAAATATTTGTACCATTATAATATTACAAGCTATTGCAAACATTTCATTCACAGCTTTTAAAAAGAATTATTGTCCATTAGTCGAAATAAAAAATACACCCTACTAACTTTAGGAGGTTTCTCATCAAAGTATCCAAGAAGGGTGGATATCGCTGTTGAAAATTGATTTTCTAGTTGAAAAATTCTTGCGGTGGCAAGCGCATCGATAAACGAATTTCAAACGTTTGCTTTTATGAAACCATAGAGAACTTGATCAAGTTTCTACATTCCAGCCAAGGAGAGACTCTCTGTTTGCATTCAAAACAAAATTGCAAAGTTTATTAGTACCTGAATCCGGAATGCAATTAGTAAGGTTTTAACAAAATCAAACATAGTGGTCACCCATAGACATTTGTCCCAGATTTGAATTGGATGTTGCTAAAAAGGTATGGCAAAGATACTTATTCTTTAGTTAACTGACTTTATAGTACCGTAAATTCTGTATTAAGCATCTAACAGGAGTTACGTATGCAGAAACCGTTGAGGGGTTTAATAGAGAGGAAACTTGATTGACTGAGGGGGCTCATCCATAATATAAAGCGGAACGGGAACGTCCATTAACGGAAACATCTATACAAGGGACACCTTTGAACAAAGGACAGGTATGTTTGTTCCAATTGAGCAAGATACTCTCAAAGGAACCTCTATCTGACACAACTTTCCAACGGACAATTAAACTGGTCCAAACGGTGTCCGTTGCACGGAGGCTCCACTGTATATACTCCTTGAAGCATACGCCCACTGGTTAAAGATATAAAAGAAGATGGACTTGTTGTTCTAAGTCTCTTCAAAGAAGATGGACTTCGAAAATCTCTTCAAAGCAATGTCAGATGAATCACAATCTCATTATCTTCTATGTCAATGTTTACCTTCTGAAGGCCAAACGTTTTTTTGTCTGCATTTTATATTTCTCTAACAATGACTTAACTTTAATGAAGAACAATTTAACAGAAATAACTCTCTGTGTGTTAGATTACATTTCATTTTAACACGAGGCAAACTTTGCACCTCAAATTTTACATCACTTCATTGACTAGTGATTAAAACAGCGAGCATACAGAAATGAATTTACAAAATTCTCAATCATATATTTATGTCCTTTACAAAGCTTTTAGAAACATTAAAACAGTAATTTACAGCCAGATAAAATTCCTTCTACCAAAACATTATACGCAGGTATGGTCTTCAGATGCTTTTAACGTGCAATGATAGAGAGGGGTTTGTGTACAGGTAATCCTATAGACAGCTTTCCATAGCAAAGGCAAAATTCACCGCTCTTGTGTACTAGCTTGCTCAGCTGCGCTTACAAGAAAACAAATAGTAGCATATAAAGCATTGTTTGATTGAATATTAGTGACACTCTGCATGTCTTACAGAATAATCTCCCCTCAGTCCTTAACCACGTTTCGGGTAGAATACTTTATTGCCAACACTTGCGTGAGCATGCCTCAACGAAGCTAGATCGATGCTTTCTGTTCATTGAGATAACATACATACAACACGACACTTTGATAGAGAGCATCACCGTTAAACAAACAGCTTCCAAACAAACAGTTAGGGAGAGGGGAACACAAGCAAACAAGGGGGGGTCAATACGATCAAAGAGTACCCAGCCTACCCTGGGTACCAGAGCTTCGAATGATATACAATAAAAAGAGACACCTTTCTTTACAAGTCCTTTTGGAGTATTTCGAGGGTGCGACAACCAGAAACAGACAGCTCTGCGTGAATTAAAGGCTAAACTGCGACTTGCTTATTTTGCAAATTTAAATGATTTTCTATTCTAATACTCTTTCCATAAAAAGAGTATTTTAATGCAATGGTCTTAAAAGAACAACACTAGGTATTCAGCATGAATATCAACCCATTTCCATTATTGCTTTGGCTTTCACCATAATTTAGACCTTTCACGGTTTCAAATTTTGGTGAAGTCAAGGAAATGGATTGTTATATGCTCGACCCATACATTAGAGTGTAGCTAATTACTGACTGCATAACTGCTGTTACTAGTTACAGATCTAGAAAAAAATTATACAAATCGAATTACATGCAGTCAGTAGCGTTACCAGGGGGCTGGTGGGTGTCAGTGTACGCCCCCCCTTACTATTCAATTATTTCATTCGAGTAAAGTTAAGAAAACCGAAGCTAACCTTTAAACTCCGCTTGCCATAACGCAAATAGATATTGTCAAAGATATTTTTTATCTTTTTCCACGAAATGAGTAGAAATTGTCAAACAAAACTTGTTTATAATCTACACAGGTAAATAAACTTGTCAAGGAAAATTGCCAAGGAAAAATTGCTCGTTTAAACGCGGCTTGAACTACTGCTGACATGACAAGGTCGATTTTATAAGATGTTACTATGAAATGTATGAATGAGTACAACCTTTAGACGTTTCATTCGTATAAGATGCTTTTTAGAAAAGGTTCCGTGGCAATTAACACTTTCTCAGTGATTATCTTACACAACTTACAACTGATTGCAGTTTATTATCGCTTTGCTAACTGTTCAGCCACCAAACAGTAAAGACGAAACTGAGCCCCATGCAGTGGCGGATTTAAGGGGGGAGGGGCAACTAGGGGCAGTGGCTCCTCTCTCAACGAGTTGAAGCAAGTCTGGCGCCCCTTTTTTGGAAATTGTGCGCCCCTTTTGAAGAATGAGAATCAGGTGAAAAAGGTTTTTGGACCGATAGGTTAATTTGCTTCAAGGATTGCCTCAAAGTTATGTTGTTTATTCTGAAAATGGATCTGAAATTGTTGTATACAGCGTACTCTTGTCACCAATTTTTGAAAATTTTCCAGCGCCCCCCATTACCAACTGCCCTTCCTTCAAATTTGCTCTGGATCCGCCCCTGGCCCCATGACTGTTCGGGGGAAACGGGAGGGGAATGGGTGAATGAAGCTTTTGCAAGAAAACTTTGCAGGGTGGCAAATTGTTTTAATATTTCGAATTAATGACCTTGTAAACATTTCTGTCAAACATTTGGGATTTGTGCCAAATTAGTTAGATGTATTGTTTAGCATTGGGCGTGGTGACGTATAAAAGGAAGATGCTTAAAACTTCGGCTGTCCATAACAACTGGCGAAGACAGCAAACAACATGACTGCATTGCAACTTTGGCTAGATGAAGAAATAGCGTAACAATAGGGATGGATTTACGGGGGTGTAAGGGTGCGACGCCCCCTAATATTCGCGTGTCCTTCCGTAACTAAAATCCAATCATTATCCAGCACCCTTAATCCTTGCCGCTTAAATCCGTCCCTGCGTAACAACAACAGTAGGTTTCAACTGTATCGTGTCTTTTTAAAGTTGCAAGGCAACCATGTCATCAACATAAATATTTATTATGGAAAAACATGACATGGGGAAGGTTCACATCAAAATATTAGTGTGTTAGATTATAGCAAATAAGCCAGTCGCAGAAAGCAGCTGCTGACTTTAATGGTGTCAATATCACACTTATAGCAATAAACAGACGCCCAATTCTTAATATTCATTAATAGAGAGTGCGGGAAATGTTATTTTCCCGCACTCTCTATTAATTATCTTCGAAATCCTGTTGTCTGTAAACTTTCTTAATATTCTTTATAACTTGGCAATTTGACACATGATATGTTTATTCTTAAGTTGTTCGTCAAAACATTAAAAACATATTCAAAACCATGTCATCTTGTTTGTAGCCCTTTATGATTTGATGCACTGATTTGTAGCCCTATTTTGCAGCACTTAATTCAAGTTCAATGAATAGAACTTGGCCCCTCCACCTTGAAATTCGTGGCACGAGCTCTGATATCTGCCCTTTTTCAACTGAAAATAATTTTGGCATAGGTGGACAAATAGGTGGACATCTTGGAAAGTTGCTCTAAAGTCCAAAATGAATGTGCATTTCACTCTTGATGAAAGAGTGTTGCCTTTTTGCAACAGGTGTATCTAGCAGGACTTCAACTTATTTTGTCACAACATGACAACTACAGTAAAAACCCGCATATAAGAACCCATATCATTCAGTTTAGCCGTTTAGCCTAGGCAGGTTCTTTGTCAATCAGTGTCTTTTACCACCTTAGAGATCAGGGTCTTACAAAATCAATGCTTTCAAATTGCACTTTAAAACATGTGTCAATTGTGCTACAGCTTAGATATCTATACTGAAAGTAGAAGCTAAGAAGTATTCTCAATTCTTTGAATAAGAATCCTCCTTAGGAATGAGGGCGAATGAGATGATTATAAATAAGGTCTAAAATAGCTCTTTTTACCCTGCAGGTTCTTACCAAAATTTTGCCTTATATGCAGGTTTGAAGAACTATATTTGCACTAAAAAAATTCAAGTCACTGCTTCATTAGTTAAAAGAAAATGTCCAATAACGTATATGACTACTATGGTGGCTTGGGGAGAGGAATCATTTTATCAAGACACTTGAATATGCGTGCTTAAGGACCAGGATACTGGGGGCAGGGGCGTCTTGGCCTCCCCAAAAATCTATAACAGCATGAGTAAAATATATTATTTTGTAAAATATGGCTGTCTACATTTATTTATCAGGGCTGGCCCCCCAAAGAAAAAGTTGTATCTCGGTCTTTGTGCGTGAACATAAGTCCCAGGATTATATTTTTACAGGAAAGAAGCAAAGCAAACAAAGACAACATGAAAACTGTGAAAACAGAAGAACAGGACAAATAAAACTCAAAATGTAAAATTACAGGTTGACTCAGCTTATAGACACTCTCCTTAAAGTCACATTACTGGTTACAGTCACCCAAAATTTAGACCGAAATATGCAGAATTTAGACCCAAATATACAGTCACACTCTGCTTAATGTCAAAAAAAGTCGAGTAACTTTTGGCGTGACTATAACCAGGGTCTACTGTATGAAGAGAACAAGAGAGAAAAACCACAGAAGAAATTTATTCAAGTTAAATGATAACCAAGGCAGTTTTAGGGGATACTATATTACTTTAAGTAAATGCATCTTTAATTAGATGATGCCTGAAAAAAATGCCCTTACTCAAACATGTTTTGTATATGTTTGACTGTGCTAAGTATGAAAAATGTCCCCTCTCAGTTTAAATGCCTGTCTGGAATGAACACCTGTACAAAAGCATAGAAATGTAAAAAATGTCCTAGGCTTTTTTAAATTTGGTATTAGAAAAGGCAATGATTTAATTGTATTTAGTTCTCTTAAGATATTCCCTTCAGTGATATTTGAAACACTTCACTGTTGCCTGAACTTCAAATAATCAGGAGCCCACAGTTTATAATTGTAGCCATGGCAATCAGATTTACAAGGACTGATGTTCTTACTTGTTCACATAAAAATAGGATTATTGAATAGGAAAAAAAGGAGGCTTTTTATTATGGCTTTCAAAATCACAGCTGAATAAGACTTATGATGAGTAGAAGTTAAGGCAATAAATAAAATCACAATCTATAGGTAGATAAGGGACAACAAATTTATCAGTCACCATGCCAGACCCAATCAAATATCGTTGGAGCTTTGTTGTTATGACTAGATTTACTTGAAAATTGAATACAAGAATTAAAGAAATACTGGCAGAAGACAGGTTGTGATAACCAAGGGTTTAATAGGCAATTTTTTGTCCTGTATATCTTAAGAATGCCCACTAAATTCTCCAGAAAAAGTATGACCCAAACATCTGGATTTAATTATTTTGCAGCAGGGAATCGCAAACAACTGTTAGTTGATAAAAAACTCCAAAGGCACATTTGCTTTTTTACCTGCCAATTTTAATGAAACCAGAAAAAACAATCTTTTTTATGAAATTGAGCATCTGCAAGGCACACAATTACAGCCAACAGAACAATCATCAAGAGATATGCATTGCATGTCAAATGCAAAATGATGACTAATATACAAAAAGTTCCCTAATCTAGAACACAGCCAAAGCCTGCAACCAATACTGCACATATCAAACAAATACCAATTCCAAAACATTTTTCCATCATAGGGTTGTTTAGTGACAAAATGGTATAAAAACATTGATAGCAATCATTATGGATGACATGCACTTTTCAGAGTGCATACCTATTACTTTGCTTTTATTGAGCAGTTTAACATATAAGTTGTCATGTCTTAAGTAGATACAAGTATGTTATAGACAGTGAATCATTTTGAAAGGTAAAAACAATAATCTTAGTTGACTAACACTTTCTAATTATCTTGTTTAATAACTTAAGTGTCTTTTGGCATTAACTTGGTGTCAGCTTAGCTACAATAACAACTATAGTTTAGTAATGGAGGAATCAAATTCCAATAATTTTATTGCAAAGTAGAATGTTCATTCTTAGTTTCGTTCTCATTCTAATACCATAAAATTAAAATCTTAAAAACTGTTTGCACAATGTAAAGATTTCAGCACTTTTTTGTGTAGAGTGTTAAAGAATTGCTTTGCAACTTTAACATCCAACAACTTTAGTTCAATGTTTATTGATTGCTACCCTAGAACCTTATAAATAATGCCTAATGAGTAAAATGCTTATAAAATAGTTAATTTTTCAGACAATACATCTCTCTAAACGACATACAAATTTCCCATTATTCCAACTAACACTGGCACATAAGGGGTTAGATATAACAGTTTGGGGCTCTATTCTGGATCACAGTCTTTTAGATAATCTTTCTGGAAACTTTGCCAGTCAATGCTTTTCAAAAGAGTAACATTAAACATGCATAAAAAAGTAAATAAGCATGTTTACCCTTAAATGGCTCTGTTTGGTTGGCTTTGTATAGGAAAACCTTAATGTCACCAAACCCAGTGTGTCTTGTGTCCTAATATTGGGTTATGCATTTACCTAAATGCTCCAGGACTTTTGATCATGGGACAGTTACAGATTGTTGTTGAGAATTGTGAGTTATAACAACAGAAGTTTCTGGTTCAGAAAACGATTGAGTCTGCTGAATTTGCACTTGGGTTTGTAAGTCAAGTTGTTGAGAAACAGTTTGTTGTTGATTGCTTTCGTGTTCTTGGCGTAGTTGATGCTGCTGCAATAATTGTGGCAACGATACAACTTGATGCATGTTTACAGGCTGAAGTTGACTGCTTTGGATTATATGCGATTGTGGATGGTGGAAATTAGTAGTTGTAACATTAGCATGAATAGCTATTTGTTCAATAAGAGGAACAGACGCTGTCATACGTTTTTCCTTTTGCCTACGATTACAAAACCAAACACGAACAACTTCTTTTTCTAGCTGTAACTGCTCAGCCAGTGAGCCAATTTCTTGTGCTGATGGCTTCGGATTTTTACAGAAATAACTTTCCAGTACACCTTTAACGGAAACTTCTATTGATGTACGCTTTTTCCGTTTCCTTCCAAGTGGTATATTTTTATCAAATATAGCAGTCGTTGCACCAGTGGTGTTTATATCGGCTTCTTCGAGCCATTTTGCAAGCAAAGGTTTCAATTTGCACATATTTTTAAAACTTAACTGCAGGGCTTCAAAGCGACAGATTGTTGTTTGACTAAAAACATTGCCATAAAGTGTTCCAAGAGCTAGGCCAACATCTGCCTGAGTGAATCCTAGTTTAATTCGACGTTGTTTGAACTCCTTAGCAAACTGTTCGAGATCGTCAGAAGTCGGAGAACTATCGTCTTCGTTTGGTAGAGGTAATGACAATGATATGTCCGAAGGATGTACTGTTGTTATACCGGTTTCGTTTAAATTTGGAGACGATGACAAGTCTGGTTTCTCCTCATTTGGTTCAGGTACAGTATTGATCGTGGCTTGTTGTTGTATATCACCGTTCATGTTTATCAAAGTGGGTTGTGTTATACCTGGTGGAGCGGCCAGATGAATCCGGATCGGATTTATATGGTCGCTAACAGAAGGCCATATCTGCTGTAAAGATCTTGGCTGTATCAACGGACTAGCAACCGAGTTAATTACATTCGAGTTCAGCAGCAAAGGCTTCACATCTTGGCTAGCAGTGGAACTTTGTGCAGCCCAGACGATAGTGCCATGCTCCGACTTGACCCACTGAGGCGCACAAACGCTGAAAACATTTCTTTGAGCAATAGTCTCCAACGCTTTCCTCTCCTGTTCGCTGAACTCCCCGTGTAGAGTAGATGTTTGCCCTTGGTCTGTTGGCTTGGCTTGCTCAACCACATTATTGTTGTTCAGATTTTGTGTCTGCGTCGCCATCAAGCTCGCAGGCAGCAACGAAAATGCAAATGATCTTGGCAATATTATTTAAATTTTTTCGAATCGTTCTCGTGTCATAATACGTACAATGACCCGGCGCGATGGCAAATTTTGGACTCACAACTGAGGCCCATATGCTGCCGCATAAAGACTTCACAAAGGTTTCGTGAAACACCGCATCTGATTGGTCGACAGCTATTTAGAATGATTTCAATCGTGTGTTAATTAATAATGAGGTTTGCAAGCGAATCCATGCGCTGATTGGTTGATGCTCATAATCAGTACAATTCAGGGGGGACACATTTGGCGACTATAATCAATAGGGGTAGCTCTAAAGGTCACACTTTGGGTCTGCCTTTTAAATTCGCAAAGACTTCGACAATAAAGTAAACACCCGCTTATATGAACCTGGTGTTATAACAACCTGCAGCTCAAACTTTGGAATTAGAACCCCAATCGGCCTTAAAACTGGAGCCGGTTCTGCTCTGCATAAATCAAAACGGTTGCCCTTTTCTAATTTTTGCAACATTGTTACCAAATGATCAATCGATTTAAATAATCAACAATTAATTTCCAGCCAAATTCTCAATGCACACAATGGTTTAAGCCAAGAAATAACATTAGAATCACTTTAAAAACCAGAGCTTTTCACCGTTCAATGTTCATTGTACAGGAGTCGAGAAGAACTTTACATATTATAATTATCAAACAAAACTTCTATTGGGAAACTAGTATTGTCTAGTTCTTTAAAAATTCAGAAACAACATTAGGAATCAAATAGAATTTAAGAAACTGCTTCCGTTATCAGCATCAAAATATTTTTCCTGTTTTCCATCTTTAAATTTGGTTTTCAAACACGGGTAAAAAAATTACAACATCAGCTATAATCCTCAAAGGTCAATCATTGAAATATCTATACTTTGCTTACTTAAACATTAAATTTATAAGATCATAGTCTATTCAGCCGTTTATGTGCACCTTTTCTGACTATCTGAATTTTTGAATCTATTAAGAAGTTTTCCAACCATCACTTCTAAAAATTGAACAACACTTGCAACAACAATCCTCGTGAAGGCTTCCATTGTGTGTTGTAACCTTATGAATAAAATTTTATAAATAGTTTGAAAATATATTTTTCCCAACAGTTGTTTTTATATCGCGTATATATTTTTTCTTCTCTGTTTATTGATAAAACAGATCGAATTGATGTATTGAAGTTCGCTGAAATTTCTGAATATAGACAATATTGGTTTATCGGTAACGCTTTTGATTTTTCTCGTTTGCGGCCTATCTTGACCTATGTCTGAAACGAACTCAAGAAAATAATTTAAGTGCTCTGAGTATGTTTTGATACAAAGATCAGAAAAATTTCAAAATCTTCTTTCTGATGAATTAGAAACTCTAGAAAAAACGTCGACTGCAATTACGCTTTGAGTAGTTTACGTGTCAAATACAATGACGTTTCGTTTCGATTACGAGGAGATTACGAAGATAATGTACCTTTAAAATTTGCTATGCAAGTTTTAGAGGTAAGTTTCTTATAAAAATGAGTTCATGGGCTTTTAACGTGGGTGTTATCTGTACTTTAAAAACTGGGGAAATAATTAACTGACCATGCCATGATATTTAAAGCAGCACTACCGCTAAGAACCTAGCTATGCTACCGCTAAGGATCTAGTCTTGAATTAGCTAGAATATTTGGTTTCCAGCAATTCAAGCCAACAGAAAATTAAAAAGACATTGTATTGTACCAGCCTAAGCTTGAAAACAATCATGGCCGGCCAATGACCGAAATAAGGTTTTATTCAATTACACGTTTTTTTACTATAAAAAACTAGTACTAGGATTGAGAAGCATCAGTACAAAGCTCAAGTAAAAATTAAGAAACTTTAATTTTTTTAAAAAAGAGTCAATGATGTGTACTGGACTGTAAAGGGCTCCGAGGAATATAAAACTCCAAAATATATTCCAAATGTATTCCTAGTAGAAATCATGATGGATGGAGGTATATCTTGATTTTCTTTCAATTATACACGCTTTCATCTTTAGGCTTAGGCTACGTTCACCCTGCTCCGTATTCGCTTCACTCCGTTTTTGTTGATGAAAACGATGTCCGTCGAATACGACTGCTCCAATAAAAACGCTGTTTGTGGCCTCATTTTTGAGGAGCAGAGGCTTTCACGAATCTGAGGGCACTTTTGTTTTATCTGAAAATCCTTTTGTTTTATCTGAAAATCCCTGAAAATTTGTTTGTTTTTGTGAAAATCTGAAGAGTGAACTGCCCCTCGCACAAATCCTCATCAAGTTGGCATCACAAGAATTTAGTGACATATTCATCACAAATTTTTCAAAAAATCCCAACTGAAACAGGTTTTGCCAATAAGCACAAACTAAAACCTCGCGAGGGTCATTGATGGAGGAAAATGTTATGTTGCAGTACTATAGACGTTTGTTCGGAAATGCTTTTATTGGTCAGAGTGGTTGGAAAGAGGTTATTCTTATCACCAAAAACTTGTGAGTGGGTGTCTCCTTCAATTTGTTGCGTGGATTGTCTTAAAAACAAAACAATATTTAACTTTTAGCTAGTTTACGGAAATGGAAATTGCAAAAATTCTGGACATTTTTAAAAGGCCTGGCAGCATAGCCAGATACAAATACACAGTCATATTTTATTAGAAACTAATAAGGTCTGGGGCTGGCACTGGTACACACTATTCTTATTAGGATATTGTTCTAAACAATATTCAGACTCTGAATCATCGAATTCTTAAGAATATCATAAGAGTAAGAAAACTTTTAAGAAAATAATCAGGCTCAAAACGAAAATTTCTTGAGAATATCGAGGCTGGACAAAATTTAGATTATTCTCATGAAAAAGAGGGTAGGCAGTTTCTTAAATTTTCGGGCCATTTTGCTACAAAAAGGTCCTTACTTACGCGTTAAGATCAATACCCGGCAATAATACTGCCTTGAGTAATTGAAGTCAAAATAAGTTTTTAAATGTAAACTTCTTGAGTGGGCGCTTTGTTAAGAATGAATGTGGTTTGCATGTCAAGTGTAGAGTTGCAGTTTATAGTGGTATTCAATGTGCCACTATGGAAAATTGAAACTGCAAGTTTCTCAACTTGTTAAACTCAGGTACACTCATTTTTTTATAAGAAACAAAGATCGAGGATGAGTACTCCAGTTTCTTGATGTTCTGGAACGTTCAATACTCATTGTTTCTTAAGTGTTTCTTAGTTATGATGTCATGAATGATGTTATGAAATGTTCGTGACCTTTCTTATCACGCCAAGTGATTCGATTCCGTTCTGATGCTGTACTTAAATGTAGGACGTATATTTTTATCCCTTGTGTCTCAAGTTCTAGGCCAACAGGGCAATCATGTTCTTGGATTTTAAAAAACTTTGTTGTTCTCAGTTTTATCACGATTTAATAGTTTCTTAATTTTTTTGCTTCGAGTACTGAAGTTTCTTAATTTTTTCTGACTGTCCAGTACCCCCTTTTTTATAGCCAGTTTCTTATAAAAAATACGTATAGGCCAAGGCTAATCTGGAGTGTCCAATTAAATTTCGAGTACAATATCGGCAAATCTTGAAGTGAACAGTAAATTGATTACATGAAAAATTATAAGAAAATTTACATATACAGTTGTAAGAAGAAAACGTTAATACCAAATTTTTCATTTTCTGTTTCATTGGCTGAAGACGGGTGTCAGGGTGCATTAAATCAACAAAGGCCACATGATTTTCGGCTCACAAACTTATTGTGATCCGGCTACGTGCTCAAGGGCCAAGCTGATCCTTTGTTTCTCTCTGATTCTAAAAAATCATAGCATAACTGAGCGTTAAATTCCAAAGCTTTTAAGTTGCCGTTTCTATATTGTATTTGCAAATATACGCCCTTTGTTTTCAAATAAGTGTATTTTGTAGCCTCGTAAAAATAATCAGATTATTTATAAACTGTTCATTCCAAGATTCCAAGATTGATGGAACTACAGCCTGATCTGCAAGCTGAATTGCCGAAGAGATGGTGTTTATTTACATGGCCGACTAGATTAAAAAGGGAGAATTAGGCCTATAAGGTCCAAACAGAAGAAATAAAAGCTAGGGTTGCTTAAATGCGCAGGTGCTGCGCCAAAAGGTTGATGGAGTATAACTAAAATATTTCTCCATTATGGTCTCTCCGGTTTTAAGTTGAAGTCCAGGCAGGAAGAGTAGGCTTTGCTCTCCCCCTCTGAGTAATAAACTTCCACTGCGCCTCGGGACGTGGTCCCAGATACACGGTATTTTAATGTGCAACAACAGCTATGGGCATGGCAAATTTTAGACGGATCTTATTAAAATATGGAGATAAAAAACTCTCAACTAAGTAGTCCTGGATTCAGAAGATAAAGAGCGTAAGATAAGAGTTCAAAGAACTAATCATTGTAAAAATTGTCTTCATAATAACATGTGAAGGAATGCTCCCTGGGACAAGCCAAGTCTTGGAAATGATGGATAAAAGCATTGCTCTCAAATAAAAGCTGGTATCCTGACTTCTTGGATGGGAGGAAAGGGGTACCAAAACGAGAAAGTGGAGAACAATAAATACTACTACACTGCTTCAAAAACCAGTGTTATTATGATGATATGTAGTGAACAAATACATGGGATTGAAATGGAGTTCATTCCTCCTGTTCTGCCACCAAAACGTACACAGCAACGCTGAATAATATGATCTACAACTCGCAAGAGGGTTGTTTTAATCACACCCCCTTAAGTATTGGAAAATTAAATAATAAACTTAATCGAATCTTAGAAAAGATCACAGCAGGCACCAATGCTTCACTATAAACCTCTATCCCTAAAGTGATCAAAACAGTGGTGAAAGTTATGACAAAGGGGGAAGTGCACCCAAATTCGACATTCCAATTCACCTCCAAATCGGGTATTTTGCATAGGAAATAGGATAGATAAGGACGCTCAACCAAAATTCGGGAAATTCATTCGCCCAATAACCAAAAAGCTCAATTTCCGCCACTTTCTGGAAAGTCATGTACACTCACATGATGATTCTGGAGGAATATGGTAACAAGAATTTGTAACTATGAACAACGTAAAGGGTATCTGAACATGAATTTAATGCTCGGACATAGTCGATTGTGAAAATCTATTGTTAGTAACTGTAGCCAATTGCTAGTATACTGCAGGTACATGACAAAAGAAAGGAGCAGGTATGTAGACAAATTCATTTGGAATATACAACACCAATTAGATTAGATTATGGCTAATTGTCTACAACAGTTACGAGAAACAACGGAAAAATTAAAAATGTATTGCAGAAATTGTTCTGGGCAAGAGGGCAGTCACGAATCGCTACTATGAAAGATAGCACCACCTTGACACGTTCATCCAACTCTTTTTCAGGTTAAGAGTTTCGTTGCTGAAAAAACCACAGGTTCTTGAGATTAAAGATTTTGCTTTTTGCATAAAGTATAGCATAAATCTTTCTCCACAGTGAGAGCTTCAGCACATGGGGATGGCAAAAGTTGAATAACATGTTCACGCAGCAGCGGAATATAAAGATTATGAGAATAGTTGCAGGAAGAGGGAAGGGGCGGCAAAAGTGGATTAGCCAATAACTTTAATATCCCCTTGGGAAGCCACGTTTTCAATAATAGAGATTTCATTTGTGCTATTGTCCCAATCTCGATTTCGCTTCAGGATTTTAACGATATGGATATGATATGGTGTCTCTCAGGCATATGAGTTAAGTGAAAGAGCGCTAGGGCGTCAACTAGTTGACTGTTGTACCGTTGCCCTTGAAACTAGCCTTATCAGTCATGAACACAGTAACTTGATAAGCTACAAGGAATAGTGAACTTAACTAAATGATGAATCATATCCTTATTCGCAGACACAATCAGTTAATACATAGCCAAGCGAGTCCTATTGAAAGACATGATAGAATAATTCACCAAAATGGCGTTTTATCAATATAATGATACTAAAATACTGTTAATGCTTTCCAATTTTCGGCAGTTTTAGGAGACGCCTGTTCAAACAAGGCACTCATTTTAAGGGGGTGCTATTAGATCTATTTAATTGCTTCAGGTAGTGGGGAGAAATATTCAAATATCGTTGCTTAGTAACGCACCAGAAAATTGGGGCGCCAGAGAGGGCAGAGGAACTACACCGTCGGAGCTGCTTAGTCCACCTATAGGAAGATATACAAACAAAATTTATAACATTATCGTAGGAAGATTTTGCTACCGTTTGTAAAATTCTCACCAAAGAGAAGGAGCATCTGATTACAGAAATCCCGTTGAGTATGAATGTACAACCAGGTAACTCCCAAGTAATTAACAAACCATATCGGGGAACTCAACCCTCTCTTTCGGCATACCAAACGACATTCGGGCTATCAATATAAGTAAAATTCCAAAAGACCACTGCGACATAATTTTAAAAGATAAATAACTAAAACAATCATGAAAACAGCCCCTATAGTAGCATTAAAAAGACATTTAAACATTGGAGATCTAATAGCCCACACTTGGGGACACATTTCCCCACCTTTTTCGGTAATCATGGTGCCGCCTCAGGTAGTAACTTTCGTGTACTTCTTTATTGCGACACGAGCAATAATCTGCAAGCGAGCAAAGACTTAAACTACCCAAGTAAAAATTGCTATTTTTCTGTTTAATGATTTAATGTCTTTTTTTTATTACTCAGAAAAGTTTAAAACGTTGATAGTATAGATAACTCACGGAAAATGATCTACTAAGAACTTTCTTAATTTATGTCTTTTATTTTTTTAGGGACAGTTTGTTATAAAAGCGAGTCCCACACAAAAATCATTAATCAGACTCTAAGTAGCTGATCTTTCTTGTTTTTCAAATTCATGTCCTGACATAATCTTAATGATTATGCGTCTTTTTGCAACTGGGATTCCATGCTTTCTCTCCGAATGCCTAGCCCCCCTGTCGGAAGGTTAAGCCCCTCCGTCAGAGAATTTCCAGCGCCACCACTGGCACAACACAGGATCTTCACAGTTTTAACCCCCCTCCCCTTAATTTTTAGATACGAGAAGGCAAACAATATATAATTAGTTGCAAGCGTGGCTATAAGAAAGAAGGCATGGTAGGTCAAACGTGGAGTAGGTTATCTTGCCATAGCCCACAACAAACTTAAAAAGGTTAGTGTCATGCAAAGCGCTCTAGTAGTTTCCTGCTTCCTTTCCCAATTGTAAGGTGCACCTTGCTCAGAGCAAATTTACAGCGTTTAAAGACAGATCCGTTACATTTGCACAACACAATTGCGCAGCGAGTCAGAAGTTTAGATTTCAATGTATGCTGTGAATTATTTATAAGAAGAGGAAGAATAACCGACGAAAAGACACTGTAAATTCAACAGTCACTGTGGCAGTTATTTTTCCTTTCACAAGAAAAGGTAATTTAGATCAGGCTTTGTCGCTTGCATTCATCCAAAGACTAAGCCTTTAACTAGTAAATCGTTTAAAAGCATTTGGTGCGCACATGAATATTGAAATGGCACACACCATCGTGCACGTGTTGGAGCTCCATTTTTAACAGATGCTCTTTTAGCGTCCTATTGTTAGAACTACGACGTTGAAAGAAATCACCTTGCGAGTTACCCAAATACAGCTTCAGCAATGCAGTACAGAAGAAGCTTGCTGTTCTCATGAGTTGCTCATTTGAAGGGCTGCTCATGACTCATGCCTGTCTGGATTTCAGGGCTGAGCTCAAAACACAGGCTACTGATTATTTTTCAACAAGCAATTTCGATTAGGGAACATAAATGCCTCCAGAAAAAGGTACAAAAAGTCAACAAGGAACAATTTACTATTCCTTTCGATATGATGACTATAATGCTCCTTAATAAAATGATTTTATCTTGAAATTTTTCTTGCAAAAAAAAACCCCTAACATTCCCGGAGAAAAAAGATTCGGGGTTGAACATTCAACATATGTTTAGGAGATGAATTATAACGAAAACGATTCATTCTGTCAGAACACGTGACAATAAGCAAAGAACGACTAAAAGACCATCAAATGCTTCCCAAGCAGATTTATAAACATTATCAAAATATCATTTACGCATACTTGTTATGACGTCATAAGCATTCACATCTTCAGAATGGATCACGGAGAAGGAACAGGTACTTCTTCTAACTTCTACACAGGCTAAACTGAATAACTCTGACTCCTTAGTAAATCAATACATCAAAGTATCAAACGACAAAGCGAGTTGGCTACATTCTTGGCACTCATTAACTCGGCTACATCCCTCATAACATTTTATCGTTCAATAGACTAAGTTTGACATCTGATATTGATTCTCTTTACCTGAAAATGTCGTCATTTTCATATTCAAGCTGGCGAAGCATGTCAACACAAAGATGGCGGACAACTGAAAGTGGCAGCGGGCTAAAGCAGCTTATTCAGCCAGAAACATTCAATCAATCATTGCTATGAATCCAAACACAACGACATACAAACCGTTGGGCTGCTTCTTTCTTGCAAGGCATACTTGATTACAGGACTGGTTTCCTCGCATGGCATGCATAGTTCATTGCCGTATTTTCACACCAATACCACTTTTGTGAAACAAGGTTGTAAGTCATACCAGTAAATTGGATCATCTCAAGCTTGCCTAGAAAAAGACGTAAAATTGCATTCGTGGGAAATAATCACAAGAGCCTTACTTCCTTGTTTTCTTCCTGTAATGATGCTACAAAATCAAAAAAATAAAGCAGGTATTCAATGCTTGCCTTGATTGAAGGTAAGGTACTAAATTAAACAACAATTAATTCAAACCTTAAATGATAAAAAAAGAAACTTTTTATAGGTATCTGGCCACCTGCAGCACGAACAAAGCATACCAAAATGACTTTATCTGAAGCTATTACACAAACAGCGTAGTGGTACCCTTTGGCAAAAAGAAACGATACCATCATTCGACAGAAATATATAGATCTTCCCTTTGGAACAGTTTACTAAAATTCTGCGTTGAACGCCTCTCGTAAAAAGAAGAACGCTTACAAGAAACACCTATCATTTTCTATATTGCACAGCTTGGATTTTGTAAAACGTTTTAATTCTCTTTCGAGTCATCATTTCAAACAATCTCTATGAGAAATCAAATGTGGCAGATCATGGATCGAGAAAAAATTGCGGGGAAGAAGGGTCTATTAAGTTAAGTAAGCAGTATTGCCGCAGTAAGCATAGAATTGCTTAAATTAAACCACAAAGTGAAAACACAATAAATAAGAAAATTAATTCAAAATAAAGTACGCAAGCATTGTGATTTTCTAAACATATGTAACAAGACAACCTTAATGCGGACATTTATAGGACTAGAATGTTCTATAAAGGTGTCCGTTGTTAGGAATGGTAAAAAGTATCGGCCGCAGAAAACCAATTCTTGGACAAAAATTTTCGATATTGTGTGGACGTGTCTATCAATAGTCGTTTTTCTGTAGCTGAATCATGTTTAAAGAGATTTTTCTCTTATTTGAGATAACATGAATATTTTATGTCTAAACTATGGGAGAGTGCTTCATAAATTTTGTCTATGACAGTATGAAATTCATCAAAATTTGATGATCACACTGACAAAAAATCTAGATTTGGGTCGGTGAATCAGCAAAATGCTAAAAAAATTCTTTTTAAAAGGAAGTAGCAAAAAATTATTGTTTTGGCTCTAAAAAATAAAAAAGAGAATTCTAAAAACATATACGTGTTCTTACTTCTTCGGAGCATATCGACGAGTTCGGATGTAGTGACAAATTTTTCCCAATCGTGAACACCAGCAGGAACAATTCTGACTATGTATTCAGCAGCATATTTCGCGAAAAGCAGAGAGAAAATAGTTCTGTTGATGGTGGTAACAAAGAGGTGGCCTCCAGGCTATAAGGAAAACATTGAGAATAAAGCATTTTCTAATGGTTTAAATACAGTAGCTCTAAAAGTATTTCTCAATACAACCAGAACTTGCCAAAAAGAATATTACGATAACATCTAGGTCAAATCTGACTACGATACGATATCAAATATACTATAATAGGGTAGTCAATATATTTCCTTCTTAAAAGAATATAAACATATAGAAATGCAATATGCTTGGACGGTTGAAAAGTTCTTGACTCATGAAAAGGTGAAACTATGAAGGAAGGTGAGATGATAATTATTATTATTATTATTATTATTATTATTATTATTATTCGAAACAGAAGAAAGAATTGCAGAAGAGCATGAAGGGGAAACATCAATAAAGGAATCAATGCGTACACCAAGGCATCATGTAGCATCTTGAATTAGATACTTAATTAAGCCTTTGGTCCCGCAAAATTGGAAAAAGCGCGGAAAAGTGCGGAAAAGCGCGGAAACAAGTCATTTCGGAATCCAGAGTTCGCCAAAACATATAGTGATAACCAGGGGCGCCTGCACATGATTTATGCAGTAGGGGCATTGTTGGTGCTTAGGGAAAATAGTAGGATTTCTTTCCACTACCATAGTCGAGTACTTGTGAGGGAGGGGAGGTACAAAATAAAATGATGGCGTGGATTTACCATTATTCTATCAGCAACATTGTAGTAACATCATCGAAGTTTATTGTGGTTCAGTTCTTTTTGCAAACAAAACATTGAAAGATCAGTTCTCACTCTCTTTCTTAAGTACAAATGACGACATGTTTCGGACAATTGGCAGAGCCTGGTCGTCGATCCATCTAGCAGTTTTGGAGTCGATCTACATACATTAATCTCCAAAAATTTCGAACGGTAAAATTTTCGAACAAATACCCGGTCCGAAAATTTAACCGTCCGAAATTTTTATCGTCCGAATATTTTAACGTCCGAAAATTTTACTGCCGAAAGTTTATACAGAAACTTTGAGAAGTATACTCATGGAACGCTAAAATCCATATACATATGTTCTAAAGCGCTGAACAATTTAGTGTTAAAAGAACCATAAATTATAAAAGTAGATGATAAAAAAAATTGAAAGATAGACACAATAGAAATGGCAAGCAAATATGATAATATTTGGCTTTGTTAGCAATTATTTAAATTGAATGCTAGGTGTAGGCCTAGTGTTCAGTCATCAATTTTGAATGCGGCAGGATTGTCCTTTTCATTTGACTCGCTTGATTCATCCTCGCTGTCAGTGTGCTCATCATCAAGCATGATCAGCGGCCCTACTTCCTCCAAATTCTCTAATTCACTGTCTGCTGTGTGTAGCGACAATTCATATGAGAGTTTTACATTTTGTCCGAAATTTTTGTCCGACATGGTCCGAAATCATGATTTTTTGGTCCGAAAATTTCTATCCGAAAATTAAACGTCCGAAATTTTACCGTCCGGAATTTTTGGGGATTAATGTACAAACGAAAAAGCCGCCATTGTGTAGACAGAAGGAGTTCGTTTTCTCTTATGGACTCCAGTGGTAATTTTTCTTTAGGCTCGCGGCAGTGATTGGTCAACTATACCGGTCTTGTGCTTGGGTTTTTCTGATTGGCCTTTTTCGATCCACAACTGGGTATATATTTTTCATCGTGTTCTTTCGGACCCTTATTCTGACGTTTTATGCTCTGAGGAGTGTCAGACGAAAAAGCCTTTAGTATGTTGTGAAATGTTTGCTTTTTTCAAAGCCATTTTCAAATTCTGTACCGCAAAAAAATTGTTCAAACGCAGTGTTACAAACCTTGATCAACTGAGAACAACACTGTACAAAGTCCAATTGATAGTTAACATGCTCAATAACTTCAGAAGCAACAACAGCATCAAATGTTTCCCTGTGGTCATCAACCATATCTTCAACAGTTGAACAAAGATATTCAGTATTTCTTGCAACATTCTCATCTATATTCGCATGCGCTTTGGCAGCCATTATGTTGCTTGCAACTGGGTCAATACCAGTTACATTTGCCCCCAACCTTGCCAATGGCTACAAAAAAAAGATAATTTCTCTAACTACTGAAAAAAGAAAAGAATACAGAGGGCAGAAGAAACGTGAAAAATTTGCTTGGTTTATCTATCAGGGCCGGCGAAACGTATTTGGAAGTGGAGGGGCCAAAATATCAAAGTCTTGGAAGGGCTTAGGAATGGCCAACACCATGGTTGGCAGGCAAGAAAATTTTTTGGAACTATGGTATCTTAGGGATGGCCAGAGATTGTATTTAAAATGGATTTTGACTGAAGGAAAATCCGAGGAAATATATTAAAGCTTTGTTTAATCAATATGTCCCATAGTCTCATCTATTGCAATGTTGACTTGAAATAGGAAAGGTCTTGCAAAGTTTCAGAATAACCTTTTACAATACAGCTAGTAATGAAACTCGTTCTTTAGATTTGAAGGTACCCAAAATAATATGGAAGGGAATAAATAAACGAGACTCCATCAATTTGTGCTGGCACAAAGTTATTCTGGATCAGGTTTCCGATCTATTTCCTAAGCCAAGCTGTTACTCGTTGTACAGCTTGAACAACAACTTCAGTTGAATCCCCATATTAAATTCTACACAATGTCTTCTATGGTAAAGACATAGCAACCAAGCTAAAGCTAAAGACATATTTAAGGGATTTCTAGGCAAAGTTCAGAATGATATAACATTTCTCTCCACTATTGCCCTGTAAAATCTTTTTTGCTTGGAGGAAAAGTGGGGGGGGGAAGGAGGGGGGGGTATGGCTCCCATGGCTTCCCCACTTTTGCTGGCACTGTCTTTTAATTGCTTTTCTATTATTTAAGGACAAAAACCTTTAGTTCTAGAGAAGCAAAGTGGTATGATATACAGACCTGGGCACCTTATGGCCCACAGGCCACATTTGCCAAAACATGGTCAAAACCTGGCACAGAGCACTGAAATGAGGCAAATGGATGTTGTTTTACTGGTCAGGCCCATTACCCTCCCTCTCTGTAGCAGCTGGTGCCACCACTGCCTACAACACAATTTCATGTATTTGTATAAACATCTATATAATAAACTTATATCTTGCTGATAACCAGTAACAGCTAAAATATAGCATGATTTATTGCTGTGGACAAGTGGACAAAAATGAAAAAGGCTGATAAGAATGTTATGATTGGCTCTGCCTTCCAACACTATTCAGGTTTGTCATATGGCCCTTTGTAGAAATTAATTGACCACATCTGGGGCCACAACTAGGGTCTAGATGTGCAGGCCAGTAGTTTGATAAATGTACCAGATGTCCCAAATCTGCTTGCTCCTTTGCACCAATCAGGCTCCATGGCATTGTTATGCAACATAATTACACCTCATTTACCATCTCAAGCGTAAACATCCACAGTTTTATAAGGAGACAGGTAAAAAAGATAAAGCTGTGATATTGTTCTTCTTTATGAAATTTTTAATTATGTAGAACCTTCTAAAGTTTGTAAATAGTGATCAACGAATAGATAAAATGCACTTTTGAAAATGGTCAAAAAGATGGTATAAATCCAAGAATACAGACAATAGTAATTTTCACATAAAACTTTACCTCAGATAGTAGGCCTCCACCACATCCAATGTCAAGGATTTTGAAGGAATCAAGGGGCCTTATGCTTTTCTGCTTTGAATCTGCTAAAAGGGTATTTTTTATCCATGGTATTCTGAGTCTGTTCATTGCTTTCAGGACCATGAAATCGCCTGATTGATCCCACCATTCAGATGAAAGCAAGTTAAATTTTGTAACTTCATCATCCAGGGTGGTTTTTCCAGTGGCTTAAATAAAAAATGTGGAGTCTAGAAGTAACATAACAGACAGCATATTTCAATAGCATTTATTCGGTTAAGAATAGGCCTGCAAGACAAGGTTACAGTTCTGTAACAAGTTCTAACTTGTTACAGAACAAGTCCGCTTCAAGGTAGGAAGAAGTGGTAACACATAATCAAGTTTCAGCAAAAATAGCTCCATTTACTTGTTGTTAGTAAAGCAGAAGTTGTAGGTTTCACCTTGGTTAATAACAACACTGAAACTTAAATAGCTAGAACAACATTTAGTTGGAAAGATTAACACTTCTAGGATAGACACAATAGAAAATAATAAATGATAAAACAAAAGGTTAATCATCAAGATATTATTCATCAATGTATATTACCAAAAGGTAAGAATGTGAGATTATACAATCAAAGGAAAAAAATTTGCTTAGTAAGCAGTTGTTTATAGAGTGAAATTAATAATGATGTCTATTTAATAAAGAATGACAACATCAGAGGCAGTGTTTTAAGGGGGACCAGATGGAAACTTTGTTGTGTACCCACAATATATTGCCCGAACACTCAAATTCTCAATCCGTGCACTTTTGTATATTGGCCGCACAAAGTCCCTACTTGATAACATTTTATATTGATAACATTACAAATTTCTTAGAAGTTTCCAGTCTGGAAGGGGGATGATGACCACCCATCTCTGTGGCCCCCAATGTTTTGTAGAACAAAAGACCGCTTCTGGGAAATCTTTTGTTAGGAGACTTAACAGAGACGGCAGCATGAAATTAAGCCGAGGGGGGGGCTAAGAATTAAATTTAGTGACAGAGGAGGACCCACCATGGTTCTAGAATGGCTAAAAATGCATCTCCCAGACTAAAATTTAACAAATTACTATACTGCTCAGAATAGACAATTCAACCATTCTCAGAAAAACATTATTGATTTTTAGAAAAAATTTGGAAGGGGAGGATTTATGTGTTGGAGAATGAAAGAAAGAAAGGGTGACCTTTGTTCAGAGTGCACATCAATGCAAATAACAAGACGCTGTTATATTGATAGCCAGGGTGCATTCCATGTACTTAGGTAAAAAGATGCAATCAGTGCCAACCCATGCGAACACTGATTTAACTCCTACAAAATTTTTTGGCAGTTTTATGTCACTTAGATTAGTTTGAAATTATAGGAAAGGTTGTCTTTTATGATGAATAAACAACAACAAATGTTAAAAAGTTTGGCGTATGGCTTCTGGCAGTTTGGCGTCTGGCTTTATCCGATGTCGTAACTATTGTAATGTGAATACATCGAATCGTTTCGTCCGTTATGAAAAGGTTGCACTGTTGACAGTGATCTTGATTCTTCTTTATTTCATACCAGCTTTTTAGTTTTATTATATTTTTTTTTCAAAAATTCGGGAGGATTTTTTAATTGTCGGGAGGTCGGGAGATGACCTCTGAAATCGGGAGTCTCCCGGTCATATCGGAAGGGTTGGAACATATGATAAATATACCTAAGTAAGTTAGTGAATAGATCGAATAAAATCAAGCAGTATATAAACAGTTTGTTCCCTTTTTATTTCATACTCTGTTTCCAAAAATAATAAAAAAGACGGCCAAAAAAAATTTATCTCCGAAAATGTGGGGGGGCGCCGTGCCTGTTAATTTTGCACTTGTGTGCATACATTGTCAGCACTCTTGCACACATTTTTATTTGTTCTTGCACACACAAGATCTTGTTGAGAACTGCCATGCTCTGCATGCAGACTGGGCGAGCCTTGCTGAGAGGTTCTTGGCTGCATTGACAGAGTAAAATTAATTTGAAGATCTTTTCTTGAAAATTTTGTATTCTTACCATAGTTGTCGGAAGCAGCACCGTTAACACATCTTCTTCCGATGCTCGCAGCTTTAAAACTATTGGATTTTCTTGAAAACAAAGTATACAGCCGCGCTTCACTAAATATGCAACACTTCAGCTTGCCCGCCATCTTTGTTTTCACATGCCTCATTTCGGTACGAGGGTATCGCCGCGATTGCTCCTCCTCATAACCAGCGTGACAAACTGATCTGTGGCGTGACATTTTAATAAGAAACTGGTTTATAAGAAACTAGTACTACAACTAAGAAACCTCAGTACAAGCCTCAAGAAAAATTAAGAAACTATTTTTTCCATCTTTAAAGTTTTTAGTTTGTTGATTTTTCTTTGCAAAAGATACATTGATCGTTTTTGTGACGATCTGCGTTCATATACTTCCAAAAATGCTCAACTTCAAAACAATGAGGCAGTTTTAGGTCCCGAAATAGGAAACCAGCTAAAAATCCTTTAGTACTCAAACGCTAAAATTTGGATGCCAAATTAAGAATCTTTCAGTACTTGATGTTGATCCAAGCTTCTCATGAAATAAAAGCGAAAGAATGATTATATGGAGTGGGGGCTCGGCCCGTGTATAAATTATATGTGCTAAAGTTAATTACAGGTTTACAGAATGTGTGGACCGAAACAAGACTTTGAGCTCGGAGATTACACAATGACCCGTAGTTATTTCTTATATGGGTGCAGAAGTACTACATTGCTTCATTTCTACTCATTGGGACGCACCAAGCATTTTACAACCACAATGCTAGCCAAAAGTATTCGGAACACCTGGCAATTTGCGTTGTGCTTTGATATTTTTCCATCTTTTCCCCAGATACTTCCGCACCCCATCCCCCAAATCAAAGCTATTTCCTAATGTTCTACGTCGTTTGTAGTAAACCATCTTTGTTCAAGGGGGGGGGGGGGTGGTTGGTTCGTTAATTTACCCTTGAAAACTGACATAGTCATCCAAGACCTTTGTCAGATGGTTACAATACAACGTCGAAGCTAACTCAGTTAAGATTTTATTTAGACCACATTATCATTAACACATCTCACGGAAGTAGGGGTGAGTGCACATTATTATTGTCCAATAATCGAGCAAATTTCAAAATTATATACCAAAACTGATATTTTAGTTACTGATAAGTAAAGCTTATACATTTTTAGAAGAGCGGATTTTGACAAAAGCGACGAGAATTGCATCTATGCACTGCAGTTCATTGTATTGCCCAAATAACATTGTATTGACTTGAAAGAAGAACCATTTCAAATCAAAGCTGTATCTTCTCGTACTTGAATCTGATCAAAGAATCTCTGTCCTTCTTAATATATGTGCGTTGGTTAGCCATCGTTATGGTTAGTGTTAAGATGTGAAGGAGATAGAACAACGCATGGGTTGAACAGAACAGAACGATAACTTTATATTAACTTCACACGGCCTACACACAGAACTGTAATACTGTAAACTGTAATCTGAAACTCTATATAAACATGCGTCACATAAACTAATGCTCCTGCGCATAGTCTATTAGGTTACTACAGTTAGCAATAAGTTAAAGGTAATGTGTCCAGTTATAGCAAGCAACTCTGCTGGGGTTTTTAGAAACATGTGATTTTTCATGTCATCGCCCCAGTCATGACGGTCGTTCTGTTTATCTATCCTGCTGCGAGGTCAGCTTTTCATGAGAGCAGTTTTGCATCGCAAGAATACTAACCAATCGCAAACCGCTATTTTGATGGGTGGCTTGACAAGTTGGGTATACGCAGTCCTTTTATATGGACACATTACCTTTAAAAGAAATAAAACAATTTGAATTTTCATATCCCAGACAGAATGGGTGAAGCTCGTCATGTAAGTTAGACGAAAGAAAACGCAAAATAGATCTCAATATCAAATAGAATTTTACATAATATCTACAACATTTCACATACATAAAATACAAATATAATGTCCGTGATATTCATTTCCGGTGACGCCTTGGTGACCTGAAACAAACAGGATAGTTCAAGCTGTGAGTTAAACGTTCTCTTTTGTCAGCTTCAAGCATAGGAATCGAACATAAAAAATGATAAGAGAGTTGATAATTAATTCAAAGCTCAGAGTAAAATCATATGGATAAGTCGGAGGAATTTTTATCGTTGTTACAGAGTATGCTTCAGGCTGGATATCAAAGCGTTATCAATTGTCGTTATATGCAAACGTTTAGTCCAGGTGGTTCAACTCAAGTTACATAAATCAAGCAGATGACACCTAAATTGCAGTTCAAGTAAATACTGATAACATAACAAAATACCTACCAGCGGTGGGTCAAAATAACAAAAAAACACGCTAAAATATACAGAAACAGATAACCTTAATCACCTACCTAGCTCCTTAAACCATTTAACTTTCACCTCGATTTTTTCGGCTCTTTTTTTTCGACTTTCGCTCACCTTTGTGTCTGTCCGTGCTCCTATCTTCAACAGTCTTTTTATCTCTTGCCTTACCGTCTTTCCGCTCTTCCCTTTCTTCTCTTTCAACACTCACATCCTTTCTACTCCTCTCTCTTCTATCCCCCTCTCGCCGTTTTTCATATATACTGTCTCTCCTTTTCGTCTCCTTCTTATCATGGCTACTGTCATTACTGCTACTCCGGCTTTTAGTCCTATGCTCGCGTTTCTTGCTCCTTTTGCTCTTCTTTTCACTACTTCCCTTATCACTACCCTCACTATCATGACCCGTTTCTCGACTTCTTTTATCCTGTGAACGACTGTGTTTCTTTTTCTTCTTCTTTACCTGTCTTCTTTCCCGATCATCACTATCTGAATCTTTCTTCACTTTGGTCCTACGTTTTTTTGCTTCCCTGTCATCAGAAGAATCCGAAGAACCAGAGGTACTACTAGAATCCGTTTCTTTTGATTTGTTTCGTTTTTTTGACTTTGAAGTGTCGTAATAATGTTCACGTTCATATTCTTTTTTCGCGACTTTTCTATCTTTTACTACCTTCTTTTCTTTGTCTGGCTCACTTTCACTGCTTTCTGATCGAGTTCGTTTTCTCCTCTTCTTTTCATCCGAATGTTTGCTCGCTTCTCTCCGCTCCGTTGTTCGATTACTACGCCGCTCATCCTCAACACTACCTTCCCTTGACAAATGGCGCTCCAATTTATCGTCGCGGGTTTGCGAAATGCTGGTATGTGTCTGTTTTTGTCTTTCTCTCTTTTCATGTTCCAACCAGCGACTAGGCTTGTCGTCTTCATCTGATTCGTCGTCACTTTCGTTACCACTACTTGAATCATATTCTAGGGCTAAAAAGCAAGGAATCTTTTGCATTTTACTGTTTACGTGGGACAAGGTACAACTAAATACCGAACAAATCAAATTGATCTTTTGTGACAGGCTGAGCTTATGAGTTAAAGGTAATTTAAAAATTGAAAATTTTTGCAACCCGTAGTTCTTCTCAATGTAGTTACTTATGAAAACTGCAAATGAGGTAAACTGAACCTATACGAAAGCATCGATCGATTTAAAAAATATTCAATGAAATATCAAATGAACGTTTAACAAGTATTCACGATAATTTCTAAAGCTTCACTTTCAGCTGAAACTTTGCTCTCAAAACTAGATGTCAGTCATCAGTCATTTTTGTTTTTGAAGCCAGAAATAAAATCAGTTTATAACTGCCTAAACTATTCTAGGGCAATCTCACAAGAAAAAAGTAAGTTACTGTTTCATAGTATACAGTAAATTTAATATCATTCTTTAAAAACTATTAACTCAAACAAAGTTGGTCAAAAAACAATAGTGTTCTCTAGCGTGACTTCACAAAAAATTATTTCTTTAAAATTTTCGAATTTTGATCACTTAACACAAAAGAACACAATAAAATACTTCCATTTATGCAAAATCAGTTAAATTTGTAAAAAATCGGGCGAGCTTTGGCCAATAGAATATTTGAAGTTTGCAAACGGGTTACTGTTATTTTGGCCCTGGTTCATAAGTTATGAACCAATATCAAATTACAGAGGTTGGATTGGGCTAGAGATTGTGCTCATCAGGACATATTTCAGCCAATTCGTGATACCTTTAACTGAGTTTGTAGATTTAGTGGTATTTTATGATGCTCTTTCGGGTTATGGGAACTAATTTAAAAAATTCTAAAAATTATGACATCATCACTTGACAACTCTATTCAGTTGGCTGTTTTATCCTGAAAGAAAGCAAACTGGCCAGGAATGCAATGTAAATAATATGAAACGGCCTGTTGGGTCCTCAAAATACTAATACTAGCTAAAATAAACACAAATTTCAGTTAAAGGAAGTCAAAAAAGGTGTGAATGATTTGTGTGAAAAAACCAGCTATGTTTGTTTCAGCTGTAACATACCTAACCCAGTTCGCAATGCAGCTAGCCCACCGGAGTTTCGAAGCAATTCGCCAGAAACACGCGCTGAAAGCAAAATGTAATTTGTTAGACTTTTGACGGAATGTGATTGCTGTTGCCAGTCCTTTGAAGATTAGGGATCCATTTAACTTTTTAAAATAACTCTCAGTCGCTACGCCGAGAGTATTGTTGCATGTCAATAAATGATGTAAATAAAGCGTAGGACAGGTTTAATGGAGGGAAAAACGTTTTTTCGCATCCAAACATTATCTTCAATTAGAATAGAATAAAGAATTTCAATTAAAAAAGAATAAAAAAGAGTAAAAAGAATGAAACTTCAGAAATTAAAGAAGCAAATCAAGATTTGTGTATTTACTTTACAAGATGGTTTAACGAATAAATTCTGTTTGCCTGTAAACAAAATAATTGTGACGGGGGAAGCAACGATGTACAGTGTCACCGGTCGTTTTCTTGACTCCTGCACTGGTGGCTCCATTTGCTCACTTTTGTTTTTCAGCATGTTTTCCCAAATAACTTTCTACTATCGCTAACTCTTAATTGCATTTTGAATTAAGTGTATCGAAAACAACACATTATGCTCTCAAAGGCAATGAAAAGATACTAAAGTGGCTTGAGCCATCTTTCAATTGGCCAATCAACACATATAATACCACTAGCACGCTCGTTGATTGGCCAATGCTTGACTGACAGATGAAATAAGCCACGTTAGTCTCTGTCAATTGACATTAAAGGCTTTTGCGCAAACGGCATGCTTAGTGGCAGCTGTCTTGAGAAATTGATCGTGTTTTGTATTTTCATCCAGTACAATATTAGGCCGGTTTCGAAAATATAGTCGCAAAGCATGCCGGTTGCGCAAGAACCTTTAATCATCGGCTTATACAAAAACTAAACATAAAACAATTCCTGCATTACAAGTCATCTTACCTTTTCTGCGCGCACGACTGTAAACTTCATTAACAACACTTACAATCTCCTCGTTGGTGACAGTGACGAGAGTTTCCATCATCCAATACTTTATCTTTTGCATCTAAAGGTGGTTAAACAGTTAATTATTTATCTAACAGGTTAAATCAAATCAATTAAGATACTAGACCTCTAAATGATGAGTATTCTACAATTGTCGATCAATAGTGATGAAAATAAGTTAAAATGTTTCACTTAACATCAAAAACTCAAAAAATAATGTTTTAATTAGATATGCAAATTAGGCAAAATGGCGGAACGAGCAATGGTTGAGAAATGCTATCACCTTCTCACAGTAAATTTTTTACATAATTTTAGAAGTCAAGTCAGAATTTATCTGTAATAAAGTTTATACATATATCTAGAGTATGAATAAACCTGGGCAGGGTATTTGAAGTATTTTTGAAAAAAAATGATTCTAATGATGACAAAACTCAAAATTGATATTTGCATTAATGTTTTTCTGGTAATAACTTTTGTGTATGAGCCTTTACAGAGAACCTGAAAACCACTTATTCTCTAGATACATATGCTATCTTCAAATTCTGAAAGTTTCAGAAGAATTGGTTTAGAATTGACTGAAAATTGTGGTCATAAAGATCTTTAAATCACTCATTTAAGCAAACGGCTAAAAACATCGAATAAAATTTTCACATTGTTTTGAGTCAGGTTTAAGTGTTAGTAAGCTCCAGGTTCATACAGTGATCCATCTTTCTCTTTATTCTTGTCCCGGAATCATATGCAGTGTTAGTCATTTTTTAATTTCCCTTAGCCTCTTTTTTCTCATTTTGTAGCTGTAGATGACTGTTTTTCGGCCACTTGGATTCTCTCTTCGTTGTTTTGTTATTGCAACCATAGTGTGATAGCCAAGCGTCACATCCAGTCGTCTAAGAGTGCCTAAAACTGAGTGGGCACCATCATTAAATGCTACTACTGCACTGGCAGTCAAAATTCCAGAACTGTCCTCCCCTGACAAATTTTTCTTGGATATCTCTTCCAAACTAAACCGTTGAAAGGCTCATTTGGATTCTGAGTATAAGAATCCAGAAATCATGCCAACAGAGATTTGTCTGCAAGGGATTCGTTAACTGGCTTGACACCATCCACAACCGCTTTTGGAAGTCCCTTTTTGTGCTTGTAGATGTCAGCCACCCACAGCACGAGTCCTTTCTTTCAGGACAAAGATGATTGCCTGGGTGATCATTTGATGATGCAAGATGAAAAAGACCAGCTTTCACATCTCTTTCCGTGCCATTAACGTCATTCTTATTTTGGCGAATAGCCAGACCATAATAATTTTGCACTGAGTCTATCATCTTATCTGTAAGTTTATTTCTCCCTCCAATTGATGTTTCCATCTGCCAGCTTTCTCTTTACGTACCTACTCCTTAGCTTACGTAGTATCGAACCTAATTTTTTCTGTATGTGACCAACACATCCCTTCTTCACAATTTCAACGTCTTTTTCATAAGGTTTGGCCACTGATACTGTAGGATAGGTAGAAGAATCACCATCTCCAATGAAGGACAGATGCCTCAGCCACTTCTCAGCAACAGATCTATTGTAGATAGTCATAACTCCATCCACCTCCATTTTACCAGATGAACGAACATGGTTAGTGCCATATGTCAAACTATGATTAATTTTCCATAACTGATATTTTAAAGTTGTTGTATCAATTTTCGTATGGATTCCACAACTTTTACGTTTTTTTATTTAACTTCAAAATCTACCACTTTTCCAGTAGAGAGAGAAATCGCAGAAACAATGCCATTGAGTGATGAATGCCTAGGCTTCTGTTAGGAACAGTCAAAGCTTACTGCAATGTCAGTTGTCTTCTCCTTTACTTTTACTTCTTCAACTGCCTTTTTTATGCTGGTCTTTGCACAATGTTCAATGTAGGCACAATGTAAGGAGTCAAAAACTTTAATATAGTTGTTTCTTGTCATGGGCTTATGCACGTTCATCTTCAAGCCTCCAGCCCTTCGTAACCAATGCCAAGATTTCTGAATGCCATCACAGTACGCAGGTTGACCTCCATTTTGTTCCTTGACCTTGTACCCTCTTCACATGCATAATTTGAAGTAAAAAATAAATGTTCCAAAAAGTAAACATTACAATGAGCAGTGTAACAAATTGAAAGCCCTTGCCCTTTATTTGAAATTTCTTTCAATGCCATACTTTGTTGTTTGTATCCAAAACAGCATACTAGCGGCAGCAGACTTTCGATATTTATATAGAATTTCGATATTTAAGTGGAGAGGCTCGACGCACATTTGTATTACATGCAGATTATACCTCGAAATATTTATCTTTCTAATATAGCTGCTCGTTGCCCCTTGGGTTTACAAAGATATACACCACTTCTTAATATGTTTCAAGAGCTTGCGCATAATACGATAATTCAATAACTCATTAACATAAGGCATTTTCAGTCAGTTAGATTAACCTTACACTGAAGCAAGGTTACGCTGGCTTCACAGGCATCAGAATCGCAAAATACCCTCAGTGACAAACGTAATGTTCTTTCTCTGACCTCATCACGCCCTAAATTGATCTCATTGACGACTGTACTTTGCTAAAATCGTCCAAAAATGTTTAGAAACTCGATGAACTGTTTGATGCTGCTCAGATTCACACCTAATCTATCTGATTAAGAAGAATAAAAGAAAACAGAGATAGGAAGATCTAACGACCGATAGAGAAAAAATTTATCAGAGATTTTAATAGTTGACACATAGTAATCTTATGATTAACGATTTTGAGGCTTTAAAAGAAAAACCATTGTAAATATACCTTTTATATTGGAAGGTCTAGTTTCTTTTTAAATAACATCAAAATAAAACTTCTAAATTCTGAAAAGTTATGAGAAGTGCAAGACACTTTCCTAGAAGAAACTCAATACTGTGAAACAAAAAACTAATTTATTTAGAATAAAAGCTTAGGTGTTTTGCTCAGCTGTCATATAGTGGTCGCTTTCTACTGATTATTACTCGATTGAAATTCCCACCAAAGGGAAATTATAACCAGTCTATCAAATTTGTTATCATAAAGATATAAAACATATAAAGTTATTTACATATATACATATAAAAAAACAAATATACAAGCAGTGACTAGAGCAGAGAAAAGTCAAAATCATTTGACGCAAACAAAGGTAACAGACTAGTTTTAGTGCAGTTCAATTAAGGGTACAGTTCATTTAAGCCGTAAAACTGTCGCAACATAGCCAACAGGCAACATTTACCTTTTCATTAAACAAGGTACATGTGCGATTTGTTTATTTAGAACTTGTTTTCAATTGGACCAGAGCCAGCTGCACAAGAGGGAAAGGGCTGTCTGAAGCTGAAGAATTGTTTTTTGCATGAGGTGGCTACATAAACAAACCAGTAAATAGATAGGTGAGCTTCTGGCTTCCTTTTGGTCAAGACCACGACTTAAATGATTCTTTTTTTGCAACATGAGTAAATACCTGTTCGTATGCCTTTTCTTCATTGGATATCGCTTCATTCTGGTTCTCATCTTCGTCTGATTTCACATTTTCTTTTTCATCATCCGAGCTGTAGCCATCATGCACTGGGGAATTCTAGAACAGGAAAAGATAATAACAGGGCCTGCAATTTCGTTCTCAGTTTCATTTAGTTCTGATCACTAGTTCAATACAGACAGTTACTTATGCCTGCATCTACACGGCACCCGACAATTAAACGACAGTGCTAGGAAGCTACTCTTGTTAAGCAGTGTCTTGGTCATTCCCCTCGATGTGCCCAAACTTGGCGATTACTGGTCGTACAGAAAGACGTGACTCTCCTTGCCCTTACAGTTCAGAAGCAGCAGGATTTCACACTATGATTGTAAGGGTCAAAGGTTTGCCTTAAGCCACTGAGTTGTTATGTTTCTTAGGTTTTCAAATGTACATATCACGTTATCAAAAGCACATATTTCTACAACTCAAAATATCATTTCGACATCTTTTCAGCAACTAACAATTATAAGCCATTCACAGACACAAAATCATTTATTTTAACGTTCACTTATCTGAAAAAAATTAGTCAATAATTTAACTGATAAAACACTCAAAACGTCATTATCTTGATTTAGTAAACAATTCAATTCAAAACTTCTAATTTGGTTTAAACACCCTTTTTAACGCCCCTCCATTAACAACCAAAGGATTTAAGGGGGCATTCATTAGAAAATAAGATGAAATAACAAAATACAGAGACAAGCCTTGTCAAAATTTTTTTACTTAATTCCTAGTTCCTTTTAATGGAGCACTGAGAATTTCTGATACAAATCTATGATAAATAGTACATTTAATAATAGTATCTTGGATCTAAGGAATCTCCCTACATTCTCTTAACCCCCTCCTTAAGGGAGCATTAACTTTTATACAGGATTGGCAATAACAAAACTTTGACAGAAAAGAAAAATAAATTTTTGAGTCCACAAGAATGCATATCAGTAGTTTTTCAACAAATGTAAAACAGATCCAGAAAAGAACAGCAACAACAAAGACAACAACAAAAAACCAGTCATCTAACCTTCTTTACTGCCCCTTTTGTTGTCTCTACTTTTTCTTCAGGTAAAGTTTTGATTTCATCCTCACTATCCTCATCATCTTTCGTACTTGCTTTTTCTTTCTCTAGTTTCTTTTGTTTTTCTTTTTCTTTTTTATTCAAAGCATCTCGCAACCACTGTGGTAACCCTTTCTTTTTATTCATTTCTAAAAATGATATTGAAATAAGCATCAAGGATTGAGATCTTAAGTACAATGAGAATTAAATGGCACAAAATTTGAGTTTATTTGTTCATTTGGCTTCTTCGAAAACAAAGTTTTATAATATACGATAATATAAACAATAAACATAGCAAATCTGGACCAAAATAGCAGTGGGTATTTGCGAAAATAGCAACAATCAAAACATATGACAAGTACCTTGAACATTTATTTCTGGAACTTGTGATGCAATTACTTGGTCTGGTATAGAAAGATCTGGCCTAGGCTTTGGTTGCATCTGAGAAACAACAGGAGGCTGGAAAAAATTTGGCATTACTAGCCCAGGTATTGGCTGTTGAACTGGCATGAAAGGCATTGGTGGGTGAGGAAAATGCATTTCAGGCTGTGGAGGAAATGGTGGCCAGTTTCTGTTATCCCACTGTTGGTTTTGAACCCATGAATTTACTTCTTGGCGATATTGGCTTGGATCACTGCCATACTGATCACTGAAGTGACTATCCCTTTCCAGATCTTGACCACTGAACCGTCCATTATCTCCTTCTGGAACTTTTCTTTCATCGGGAATATGATTCTCTGTAAAGGTTTTAAAAAAAGAGTGACAAGCAAGACAGATTGAAAATGCTCGATATAGACCAAGCTTCTTCAGTAACATGTGTAAAATGTACTTCAGTATTTCCTTAGCAGCTTACTTTTTTTGCTACCAACTAGTCCTTTAGAGTTAAGGTAAAAGACTGAATACAAAATGATCAATGATAGATTAAGGAAAGTTAACTTTTGTAAAATACATTTAAAACTATATATAGGTTTTCATGTTTACATAACTGTTTAAAAAAATCAGAAAATTTGCAAATCAAAACAATGAGCAAGAAAAGTTTAAGTGATTGGTATTGCAATCTTGCTTCATCACCATCCTAACCAAGTTGCGTTTTCATGACCATCCATGAAAATGGGATGGCAATCCTGATCTGTTCACACTTTTATAACACCAAAACATGAATAACAAAGCTCAGAGAAAATGGCTGCACAGCCTTCTACTTAAGTAATGTTTTGTTGGCATCAAAATATCAGGAGCTTTTATCAAAACAACAATTTTCACATCTTCTGTTGTCCATAAATGCTGGGTCGGACATTTCTGTAACTTTCTTGAATTTAATTACAAGTTTTTTAGTACCTTTGAAATGCAGGAAAACCCTTCTTCAAAATGCAGGAAAAATGAAGAAATTGGTGGCATTCACAATGACACCTTTATCTACTGTGCAAGCTTAAAGACAACTTTCAGGATAGCGCCCCAAAGCTTAAAGGATAACGACCCAAAGTGCTTACATGAGACATTTTTATGGGATCATGAAATTGAATAACATTTCTTGGGATATAGGTTATGATCAGGTGTTTACACAATAATATTTTCGGATCCTTTGCACTGTGTAAGCAGGGAAACTAGATTTTGCCAAGCTTTGCAAAACAGCTAGGTGAAGTGGTACAGAACAGAGAAAATCATTATCAGCCACAATCTATGACAGATTCTAGTAATAACACAACCTATGCAATATATGACCACTTAAATTCATTAAATCCACATCCAGCTAGGGTCTCAAATACTGGGCCAGATTGAGGTATGAGAAGAATACAAATCTGTATTTTCTTGAAACACTTATTACAACGTATAAGAGGGCTTGGATCATTAAACTTAAACTAGGCGAAGAAGTCTCAAGGAAGAGGCAGGAGGATAATTAGTGTAACTCAAATTTAGCAATTTACCTTGCTCATAGTTATTATCAAAAGGCCTATCTGAATCATCAAAAGCAGATCCTCCAATGGGCTTCCAATGACCTTTCCTGTATCCCTGTCCTGTCTGCGGCTGAATCAAACCAGATTGATGTTGGTCATTGTGTTGATTATTCCAAGGCCTTGAAGGGTCATTCCCTTGATTACCTCCTTCTAAAAGATCTAGCCTTTCTTTGTGAACAAAAGCACTTGCATTATTTATTGCATCTGGAGGAGGTGGCTGTGTGGGAGCATTCTCACTTGGTAGAGGGGGGTGGCTTGTTACCTCAGGAGGGGGTGGATGTGTTTGCCCTGTATCTGGAGGGTGATTCTGTTGCATTTGGCTGTGCAGCTGACGTTGCTGTGCCCACATGGCAGCTTTAATTGCCCATTCTTGGCTTCTGTCTCCATCTAGAGAATGAGAAGAACAAATAAGACAAAGTACACTATAAAAAACATTAGAGAGGCAAAAATTGAAGAAAGAAGCAGCCTTGCAAATAAACTCACTCTTCAAAAGGCCGCATTTTTAAAACAACATCTATTTCTATAGAAAATACTTACTTGAACAATTCTAAAGAGTAGTCCTAGTTTAAGCCCACTACTCAGTTATTTCATAGCAAGGATATAAGGAAGTAGTTTTTGGATGGATTATCAACTAGATTGCCTTCCAAACTGAGTAGGAAGAAGGCCATAGATAATACAAGTGACAAAATCAAAGAACCTACCAATAGCATGTCAATACCCGGTAAATAGAGGAAACTTCAATCTTTTGCTCAAAATTTACCTCGCTGGGAAAGTAAGTACTGTCTGACAATAAAACACCTTTAAGACTGCTGAAAATTGCCAAAATAAATACACCGCTTACAGTCTACTACAAAAAGGTATTTACCTTCAATAGCAGCCTGATATTGATAATTATAATTAGGCCACCAAGTGCCTTGCTGCTGATCATTGTTCCACATCTCCTACTCATGGAAAAAGCTGGCAAACTAAATACACAATACGCTTCCTAATAAAACCTGTAGCGAGTGGGCATTACATATACAAAAACATTACTTCTCTTTTTACATTTCTTTAGCCTTTTGGGTGAATTTACAGTAGTCCTTCTTTGCGGATGTTTCAAAACTACGTTTTTTGTGTTTTTTAATAACAAAAAAATTTATGGAATAAAAACAAAATTTTCCAATATTGGAAGTTTGGCTGTTGTTAACCATTCAATTTCAAAGTTGAAAAGAATTCAAGGTTTGATAAAGTTTCTTTAAAGGTGAGAAGCTATAGAAACTTATATAATTGTCTAGATAAGTCTGTGAAATCATTATAAATTATGAATTTAGAAGACAATGTATCTAACATAATCTCTGTCATTTTGAGAATTTGCAAACACATCATCCAAATTTCATGTGAGCAGTGGCAGACACTTGGTCAAATACAGGGGGGAAGCCTATTGTTTTGATAAGTTGAAAACACATTTTTCAAATACTTTTAGACGAAAGACCATTGTCTTCCAAAATATCTGGGGGAGTGACTGCCCCCTAGCCCCCAGGTGTCCGCCCCTGCATGTGAGGTTTATGAGTGTGTATCTTATAATTTACATTAACAAATCTATCAAAATATGTCATGCTTGAGTAACCAAAGTGTACATCTCATCAGCATTTACCTTTGGGTTGCAAATTGTTACCTGTAAAAAGGTATAAACAGAATGACATCATATGGAAAAACAAACTTGGATTATATACATGAATTACATGGAATTTCACAATTGATCTTATAAAACCTGAAGGTATCATTTTTAAGCTTTAATAAATAGACAATTTATCCACAGTTTCAATTTGGCTACCTGCTTATAAATTAGACATACATATACGAGGTCATGTATTCGGTTGATATTTTGTTAGAGGGCTTTGGAAAAAATAGCAATTTTTAAGGCCAGATTACAACAACAGCTTTTTTCTAAATATGTAGTCATTTTTCACAAAGAAACATATAAAGTAATTTCTATGGTTTGCACTTTGGGACAGATGTATGTAAATAAATAGACATATGATCTAACGAGAATTACTGTTTTATCAGTCAGTCATTAAGTTCTAAATGTCAAAAAGGTATAGGTGCACAGTGCACAGACTGGTGTATAGAACAGGAGGGTTCTGGGTTGCAACCCATGTTTCATGCAAAATGCTATCATCAGGCAACTATCCATGTACCTATGATCTAATGTAGTTTTAAGCAGAAATATCAAGCTTGCAGTTTCTAAGACTGTGCTCACACTGGGTGCTTGAAGAGTGGAGTTTATTTTTGTTTGCCCCCACTTTTGGCTGTTCACATTGGCCACTATTTAAAATTTGCCCAATGACATTGCTCAATAAAGAATTCTTTTGCTTAAAATGTGTTCATGTTTGTCCCATACTGCCAAATTTGGAATGCAAGAATTGGTGCCTTGCTACCTTGTACTAGCCATATATGTGGATGTAATGTATTTGCATGCAGTTTCGATAGCAAAGGCTCAATTATCAATGGAAACAATCACTTTCTTAACAAATTCTAAAAATATGCCAGAATTATGAATTTCCAACTATGCCAGATTTTGCTAAAAGCATAATATTATGCTAGATCTGAGCACACTCCGGTCTGCAGAGTATAGCACTTTTCGACGAGATGTCCTGTGTGCATGCGCAAAAAGCCTGGCGTACCAGTGTGCACGACCAAAAATTTTTGGTGTGCTGGTGTGTACCGACTATTTTCTCCTGCTGTGGTTAAAATTTGTAAATTTGCATTTCACCGTAAAAATGTGTGTGAAGTACACTGTTGAAGATAGCGCAAGTTTTTATTTGTATATTTTTCAAGTATTACTTGACTTGTTTTTATCAGCTGACATTCTTTATGGGACCACACCCAGCCACGCCCGTCTTAGTTGCCACATCCAAAAATACCCGGCGTGCAACAAGTTTTGCACAAAAATATCTCCAGTGTGCACATGCCATACTCTGCAGACTGGGTCACACTGGGTCTTCCATATCTCGCCCAGTCGTCGTAACTCGTGAAGTGAAGATAACTGATAATAAAAAGTTAATCGCCGAGATCCACAAGCCGATTAACACAAATTAAACAAGTCCCTAATGATGAACCTATATGAAAAACATGATTTGGAGAACTTAGACACTGCACTTTGATTAAATGTCATGTCCATGATGGCTTAGGCCCACCACTTCTGCGCGTTGTGATCACTTGAATTTGATCAATCAGAGCCAGCTTAATAAAATGTAAAACAACAAATTCTAAACTACAAACAAACATGCTATAAAGTTTAAGCTTGCGTGATTTTACTACTTTTTACTATTGTTTGAGAAACTTACTCTTTTAATGATCTTGTCCACGGATCTTCCCCGTAAAAATTGATTTCCCAAAATGGCGCTGAGCGCTTGCCAGTGTGGTGACTTGTGCGCGCGCAGCCAGCTTGTCAGACAAAACCTTGTCACACAAAGCAAGACAAGGGTCCCTTGATCATGTAGCTATCAAAGCCAAGAAGGGTGGTTTGGGGGTTGGGAAATGTTTGATGGATGAGCACCCCCATATGTAAAAACATTGAGTAGCAGGGGTGGCGCTAGAAACCAAACTACGGTGTGCCAACAATCCAAGAAAAATTCAAGTGGCGATGACTATAAAAATGGCTGCCGACATATTTCATTAACTCCCTTTTACAGTTTCTTTAAATCTCTAAACATTTTGAAAATGAATGGAAATGTTTTCATCCCTCCAATCAAATCTTTAACCCTCTCTTTAAACTAAAAATTTGGTTAAAGCGTTTCAAATTACCCAGATTTGATATGCAAATGTGTTGATATTTCTCGCATGTAGGCCCTTATACAATACATCGTTTACTGGCTAAGCAAGTTTTGGCCATTTCTTGCTTGGTTTCTGCCTAAGGCAGTATGATTTTGCTTTCTGGATATCTTCTTCTGAAATTAACGAGGAATCGTGAAAATATATTGTTAACAGTGAAAATGGCAACCAATTTAATTGTTACCGCAAGCCCTGGGGCAAGACATAAGAGAAGACCTCAATGCGGAAACGCGAAGAAAATTTTGCGACCACACTATTTCTTCGAGCAATTTTCTTTCCAGCGCTTACAACGTTTTACTGTTGTTGAGCAAACTTTTGTTATGATTCATTATTTCCATTCTTGAAAATTGAACTCATTACTTTCTAAAGCCCCATGGAGCCTTGAAGCCCTGGGGAAATTTGCCCCTTTGCCCCCCTCTCTGGGGTCCTGGTTATTTGACGCCTATCAGTTTCCTAATAAATCATGAAGTTGGGCGACAATTTTTGATAAAATCTTTTCTCTTAAGAACAATTTCATAAGGAAAAAAGTAAATTTTACTTGATTCAAATTTCATAAGAGCAAGCTGAGGCTGAGGTTCTTTTAAATGTATTTCAAAACAAAGTTATGAAACGTGTTTTTCTATCTAGGGGTGCTCAATCCAGCCTCAACGTTTTAATGGTTTTAATGGTTTTATTGAAAGTCAAAATTCCAGCCTTAACTTCAAATTAATGGTTCTTACAAATAAGTAAATCTTTCATTCTACAGTTCCAAAGTTCCGACAATTCTTTTCATGCTTTTATTTTGGCTGCCGACGGGGTGTCATATGGAACTTTAGAGGGGGCAGTTAGCCCCCCCCCCCAATGAAACCCTTTAGCGCCATTCTAGAGTTTAAGGCTTAAATTACCTCTTTTTATTGCACAGTATGTGAGAAATTTCCTTTTACAGACAAGCTTTTTAAGTCATATTCAGTACATCATCATGCCTTTAATACATAATATGAATGCCTCTAAGTCATGATTAGACCCTGTCACCAGTGGCGTGCCAAAGGGCATTTGAGTGGGGGGGGGTGGGTGTAACATGAGAAATTTACCGACAGGGTTGATTAAAGATAGTTAATCATAGCGCACAAATTTTACACTCTAGTACCGTAGTGGCTCTTTTATGTCTAAACTGGATATAACGAAATTGCAAACTAAACTTATCTTATTGTTTTTAACTGGATTGAAATTTAGCAGATTACTTGCAAAATACTCATGTTTTTTCGCCTAATGATCCCAACGAAGGAGGCATTAAAATTAATTTGGATCTCTGGAAGGTCAGGGTCAGGAAAATATTCATATCACTAAATAATATCAATACATATAAAAACATATAGTCTTGCATGGTATAGATTTATATCTTCATTCTTCAAGTTTTAAGAATTGACCAGCTATCTGCAACTTCATCAAAATCCAAACGATCTAAAATGTCATTGAAACATGCAGCTACCATTAAATAGTCTAAACGTTCTTCTTTCATTGTCAAACGGATGTAACCTTTAAAACCAGCTGTTTGGTTTGCAACAATTTATATGTAAAAACAAAAATAGGCAACAACACGAAAAGGTAGACGTAATCTAATTCTTCCCCGAAATACCGACACGCTGCTATAGTTGTGTCAACTTTTACCGACAGGCAAAAAATTACCAACGGCTTCTAGAAAAATGGGCGGGGGGGGGGGTGATACCCCACACTCCCTACTTCGACACGCCCCTACCTGTCACCATCATAAACCCTAGCATGTGGAATGTTCCCTAGAAAATTCTCCAGGCTTGTTGCTTCGTTTTACGGACTTACAAGGAATTCGGAAAGTGGAGGGGTACAGGCCAGGGGAGTTTATATATGGGGAGGCCCATCCACAATTATGAAAATTCTCCTAAAATTATCTTAACCAAATTTAACTGACCTAAAATTATCAGCTAAAAATTTTTGATAAGACCCAAAAGTATCAAAATACTAATTCTTGTTGTTGAGCACATAGGAGACTACTAGTCATAGTATTTTTGACTTTTTCCTAAAATAATCAGTCTAAACACATCTGTGTTTATATTCCATTTTTGAAAATTGTTAATTGTTACGTGGACCCATAAGTATCAAAATGGTTTATTGTGAAAAAGGTATACCTAAAAGTACCAGATTAAAAAGAAAATGCTTACCCATAATCATCAGATGGACCACCTGTATATGGAAAGTTCAAGCGACCCAGGTCAAAATTGTCACGCCTTATTTCAAACGAGGGCGACACGACTAACCCGGGCCCATACACACTGGGGGCAGTGTAAATAAGCGATCATAAAGCTGCACGGAGGACACATACAAGGAAAAAACTATGGAAATCAGGGGTGAAACCGCCAATAACTTTTTCGCCAACACGTCAAACCAACGCACTGATCATTCTCATGTCATCGTTTTCATACCAATTCAAATTTCGACCTCGTTTACACAATTACACCAATCTTGATTAAACGATTTGTCGGCTTCATCACCTGATTTCTTAGTTGGGATATCTAAGAGCTGGAAGAAAATAAACAATTTAGTTACGGAAATACAATAAGCATCGATTCTCCTTCATCCTGCCTCGTAAATCACAAAAAAACTTTTGCCTAGCTTGCGATGCAAACCAAACCAAATATTTAACTTGGCCTGTGATGCTGGCTACTTTTCAGAGCTCTGAAGACGCTAACGTAGTACAAAATATATTACTGAGCTACTAAATTCCATAGAAGATTGCAATTGAGCAATTAATGGTGTCTATTTATCACCAATAATGCCAGCAATCCATTTGGTATACTTGGAAAGATCGATGTGAACATCAACGCCACCTCCAACGTAACATGAGAGCGCGGATGACCCCCAAGTCTTTACTGCCAAAAGAGTATGAGTACTGCTCTGCTTCTTGATCACGGGGGATCCATCTGACAACTGCTCCCAGATATCACCCTTGCAAGGGTTCACTGTATAACAAAGAGAAAGCATGAAAGATTAAAAAAGATTGTAAACATCTATTTATATAACCTTCCGATAATTACTTTTTGAGATGTCTAAATGCCTTTAGAAGGCTCTTAGCATGCAAAAAATTGACTACGCTTTTCCCAGGGTCAGAAGATGTAAAAATTAGAAATTTACCTGAACAAACATTTTTATCACCATAATGGTATGATATCGCCTCCTTTTTCACTTGTGCATCACAGTTTTTAGAACGCCTGTGGTTGAAGATATGCTCCTTTAACTCGCCAGAGAGATTTTCGTCAAAAATATCGCCTTCTATCCAACGGTAACTCAACCCCTGTAAATTGCTAAGCATACTAGTTGTTGGCAAGCACACAGTTTGCTTATTTTCCACTGGCTTAGCCAATCGCAGTAAAGCAATGTCATTCCTGAAGGTTTTATACACGAAATGTTCATGCACCACAACTTTATCGACAGCCACCTTTGTACGGGCCTTTCGGAATCGAACAAGCAATTGTCCAGGTTTAAAGTAGCTTCCATCTAAAAAGTAAGAAGGTGGTAAACTGTTGCGAAGATCGGGAAGCTAGCTAGAATTTAACATACCAACTTGTCGAGGAAGGAATTTTTGACTGAGCAAAATTTCAAAATGATTTCAAACAGTGGAAGTATAAAAAATGGTAATGAAGCTTAATCATCATGATTAAATTCATCGTTAAGTTACCAAAATGAGCACAACGTATTACGATTTAAGACTGGCAAAATTCATTCCGTTTTATGAAAAAGGTACTTTATAGATGAAAAATGGAAGAATGAGATCACAAAGTAAAATAGAATAGTAAAATAAAGCAAAAGAAAGTAAAATAGTTTCAGCAAATGCTTTATTTTAGATTCTAAAAAAAATTCTCAATTGCCAATAGAATTTCCCGAAAATGGCAACGAAAGTGCAAAAAGGAGAATATCTTTACTTGAATATAAGATCTCTAGCCTCAAACCTGAAACAACGACTTAAGATAATACTTACCGTAGGAGACAAGACAATGTGCTACAGTCAAAACCCATTGCTTATGAACAAGAGCTCCATGACAAATGTACATAGTCTCATCTTTTCTCCAAAGCAGGACATGCCAGTCAGCATCATTATCATGCTTTCCTTCTCCACAATCAAAGAGATGTTTAGAACCACGTGTCGATGTTTTCTCTCTGTCTAAAAATTGCAAAATAAAAAAATAGAGATGATATTAAATCGTCTTTACGTTACAGAGAAGTTGAATCAGAGGCTAATGGTAAGCTTTATTTTTGTCTTTAATTTCCAAAAATCTCTAAGCTCTCTGAGCTATAAAAATCTCTAAGCTATTTCAAAGAACTTCAAAAACAAGGTTGCGGAAACTTCACATCTCAGAATTTATGTGCCCATTGCCTATTACTTTCATTGGTCTTAAAATCAGTTAAACTAGATTTTGCTTTCTTATTTTCCATTTCCATTCAATAGCAGCAAGAAAGTAGCAGATTTGCAATGATAACTTCTAACATTATCGATAAAAAATTAATTGACTGGGTTCTCGGTTTAAAGACAAAACGTAAAATAAAAGATATTGACAGCTTTTTCAAACACCTGCAATATTTACGTGTAATGTATCAAGGACACATGCTAAAGTACAATTCTGTCAGATATACCTCTCTTGTAGATCCCTAGAAGATTGGTATAAAAAAACAATGAGACTGGAAGTTTGGGAAATAGACTTAAATTGTAAATAGTCGTGGAACTCTCTGTTTCGAACTACTTGGAACTCTGTTGTTAACAGCATTATGTTAGCTAGGTTAACGAAGATGCTGTGATGATGATGATGATGTTGATGATGATGATGATGATGATGATAATGATGATGATGATAAAAAATGAGACTAAAACGAGACTGTTAACAACTTCAGATAACCAGTTAAAATGCAATAAAAACGAACCTTTGTGGCAAGGCTGCAACACAATGGAGATGTTCCTTGGCTTCAACTTCTTAAGCTCCACAGTTTCTTGCCTTTCAAAGATTTTTTCCTCATTTTCAAGCATAATTAACTTTTTTTCACCTAGGTAAATGAATGTAGTGTGAAAAACACATTTAATCCTGAAGCAAAGCAAAACACATCTTTTATGTTCAAATCTACTGAATGAGCGCATGTAGCAAGTAATAATTCTGGTGTTTCATGACAGGGCGAGGCAAAGACTTTCATGGAAACACAGGGCTTTTGGACAAATTAGGCACTATTCTAGTGGAACCCCGAATATTTCTTATTCTAGCATACAACTGAAACCGCTTGTCAGTCTCAATATGTTTCTAATTTCTTTAGCTATTGAGAATCAAGAAAGCTAATTTAAAAAAAAATAAAATCACCTGGTTTAGGAGGCACTATTGTCAAAGTATCCCCGCAGTGGGTTTCTAGATCATTAATCGTCGATCTCGATTGATGCTCTCGAATGATTCTTGTACCTTGACCTAGAAGATGAAGGTGAGCCATTCTTTATGAAGACACATGAACACAATTTGCTCAGTTTCAGATCCCCTTACCAAAAATTATTTCTACACAATACACACTTATTGAAACTAATACTAATCTTCCTTTTCGCATGACGGTGGCACAGATCTAAATTTTTGCAATAAACAAACAAACTTGACAAAAGGCTGATGGGTGACAAATTTGTATTGGCATTGCACTGGCTAATGACAAAAATATCAACATCATCGAGCGACATAATTTGTGTTTAAAAATAAGAAACATCTTGTAAAAAATCATAAAGGCCAATGAAAGGCTGATAGAGGGGACTAAAACTTTACATGCTTGATATGATCCACCTAGGCAAAGAAGAAATCGAAGAAAAATAGGACACGAAACTTAAAATGGCACTGCATTCCTGGAACAGATGAAATTTAAGCGAACGATATCCTTCCGACAGAACCCGAGACAAGTTTAAAATTAGGATGAAATATACAAAGGCCTACAAAAGATTTTTGTTCCCGTACTAAAAAGATGGAGGCTTTGACAACATACCCCATCAAGGTCTTCGGAGGCGGAGGCGCAAAACATGCAAATTAAATGACAGCTACCCCTTATCTGAACTATCCAGCTATTTGTGCGCTGAATAGTCTCTTCAGGGACTTTGCTAGCATACGAAACAGAGAGGGGGCAATTTTCCTTCTAGATCTGGTGATAAAAAACAATAGACTATGACCAAAAATTCCATTGAAAAACATACAATAATTTTGGGCATTAAAAGAAATGGCCTGTAGTTACCTGTTTATCCTATTGCATTTAAGTCTGTCCGTAACGATTTCGTTCATTTGCTATCCATAATTGAAAATGTGTATACTCACTTGTCGAGACTGTAACCAGAAATACTTGAAAGAATAGGCAATTGCAAATCCCAAATGCATCCATTTTTAGCATTTACTTTTCTGAGATTATCTGCGGAAGCTAAAAATGATCTTCCGGTTTTTTCTGAGAGAAAACGAAATGCTTCCGAGTTCCGATAAATTTACCAATGAGGCTACGATTTTTCAAATATCGTATTCCGCTGCAGGCAGGACTGTCCGTAAAATACAATATCCGTGGAACTTTGGAACGTCACAACAAAATAATGAAATGATTTTTAGTATATCAAGAGAAACAAATGCACAATTCTCTAAACCCGTCCAAACTAAAACGATAATATTAGTCACTCTCCCATCATACAGGTTATGGTCACATAAAAATTTACACCCAAATTTGCAAACTGTTCAATTTAGCTGCGTTTGCAGAAACACCCCGTTCACAGTTACAAGTTTTCAAGCCACATTTGTTGTAACGTTAACCAAAGTCTACTGAATCTTAAATAAAGGTTAAAAGGTGCCCTCTCCTCGACTACAAAACTTTCCAAAACCTCGTGAAAAACGCAATAAAGCAGACATTTCAACCTAAGGCTAAAGATATTCAAAATTTGGAGTTTTTTTAATAAATTCCCTTGTTAATATTCGAATTTGGTCAATCCACAAAAGATAACACCCGCGAAATTTGCAAAAAATCTCCACAAAAATAAATTCTTGTAAAAAATAATTCCCTTAAAACTCTTAAATATAAAATTATATAATAAAATAGAATATAGACTAGAAATGAGACATGTTCTCTGTTACTCCGAGTTTCGTGCTTGCGCACTCATCAGACAGACTATAATGATTATAGTCTGTCTGATGAGTGCGCAAGCACGAAACTCGGAGTAACAGAGAACATGTCTCATTTCTAGTCTATATTCTATTTTATTATATCTATTGCTCTGTGTTTTTGCACATCGAGCACTGTCACGTCAGAATAGACAACGCAATCTGGAGTAAATATAAAATTATATATTTCATCTTGCTATAGTGAATCCTGTATTTCATGGAAAATCATTTTTGTTACGAGTCAACTTTTTATAAAAATGTTAAAACAATTAAGACTGAGGAACATTTGAAAATAGAACTTGAGAATGTTCGATGTTGTAAGTTATACAAGGAGACTTACAATTTTGCTGGGAAATTTAACATTTAGCAAATTTAACATAACAAAAGATTTTGTCCTCCGGCCTCCCTTTGTCGTAGCGGAGGCCCTGTTACATGAAAACATTTGTTTTCAGTGATGAAATTAAGACAATATATTTCGTCTTCTAACACCCTGCAATTAGGGCTCTGAGGGTTTTTCGTGTTGGAATGTCTACATCCTTTCAAAGCCTTGCTTACAAAAATGAGGGAATTAAAAAATAAGAGGAATATATTTTTTTTAGTTTTAGAAACTCTTGAGTCACTCTAAATATTTATCATTGCGTCATTCAACAAAGGTTAGCAAAAAAACTGCTTGCGTCAGCAACAACAACATTACAAAAGATATAATCATGGCGGAAGTTTAGCGTCTGGCAAAAGTTGGCCTTGCTACAGAAAAGTGTATTTTGAAAGGCAATCAGAACCGAAAATGTTTTCGAAAAAGCCAAATCCAAAAGGTAATTCAAAGTTTTATCTACTAACAATTGTTTATAAATTGTCAAAAGTCTGGTAATGAATGAAGAATTGAAAATTATTTCCAATTCTTATTTAGGCCAGCCTATATTGACGTTGACAATCTTCATGATTTATTAGAGATCCAGCGAAACATTTTTCTGGTTATCTTTCATTTCATTTTATTTTATTTCAAACTTCTTTACCATGGTAATCCCGCCAGAAAGCCGGTTTTTTTTCAGGGGACTGAACCATATGAAATCCAATCTGATTTTTCTTTTGGAATATATATTTATATTTCCAGAACTAAATGTGCAAGTTAGTTCTGGAAATAAGAAAAATGCAACAGTGCCTGTGAAATTCAGTATATTAGGTGCACAATTTACGTGAACTTCTATTGCATGTCAAGTACACTATAACATTTGATAGCTAAATGTTAAAAATATAAATCAATTATCTGAAGCGATTGTTAATTTTTATTTTGTTTTCATGCGTTTTAAGTATAAAGATATAAATTTATAATGATTTAAAGAAAGAGTAAAGATAATTTTCCCTTTCTGTGACACAAACTTACAAGCTTCTGATATCTTGATTCTGGATATTTATTATGCATGTAACTTTAAGTTTTTCTTTTATCTAAATATTCTGAAGTTATTAAATCTTTTAAAAATTGCGCTTTCTATTTTTCTTAAAACCCCATTGCTGGCAGTTTCATCTCATGTGCGAGGCTTGATTTTTCAATCATAAATAATAGTTTTAAACACATAGAAATTATAATTAAATATGTTTAAAATTCTGTAGTTTCCTTAGCACAGAGAGAGGATAACACTTTGCTCAGTGAAAATTTAATTTTATATTTTAGAGCAAGTGAAGCAGCAAAAACGGCAGCTTAACAAAGTCCAAAGGGAAATGACACGGGATAGAGGTGCACTTGAGAGGCAAGAAAAGCAACTGGTATCATGAATTTTATTGTCTTACATTGCATGCAAGTTTCTTATTTTGTTAAGATTTTGTTTTATCAAAATAAATATAAATTGTTGCTTCTGAAGGCTGTGTTAATCTTCTTTGGTTACAAAATGCACTTCCCTAAGCAATAATTTTGTTTGTGTAGACTTAGGGCACATAAGTATGGAAAGAGTACTAGTCATAAGTGAAATTTTGCAGTGACCAAGGTCCTAAGCTGACTAATTTAAAAACAAATTGTTAGAAAACTTTGCATCAATTCTTCAGAAAAATTCCGGAAACAATGATCAAATGATTCACAAACAATTATGATAACATTTCTGTTAGTGCTACATTTCTTTGTGATATTTTACAAATCCTGCAAAAAATTTTTACAAAACAAGTTTGAAGCTGTGGTTAAAAGTTTTTCTGAATTTTTTTCCTCAAAACAGCAAACTGAACCTTCAATTTTGTTTTCAAAATGTGCAAAAACTCTATAAGATGGCAAATGAATTTACCAGACATGAGCAGCGGTTTCCAAACCCCTTTACCTAGTTGCCATTTCAACAACCATGCTTTTGTACCCCAAATGTACCTGAATCAATTCGTTATAGATTTAAGACAAATAAAAAGAATTCTGTATTTGCTTCACTTTAAACTAAATTGTGAAAATACATAAATATTGCATTTTTTTAAATTGTCCTTCTCATAAATACCAATACAGATATTTTATATTATATTTTATATTACATAAAGTGTTTTGATAAAAATAAAGAAGAACAGTAACAATTTCATGCATAATATTTTTTTAATGTATGCTCAAACCTTACCTTATATGATACTTTTTCTGAATCTATAGGAAAATGAAATTAAGAAGGCAGCAAAGGCTGGAAATAAACAGGTATTTGACTATTTAATTGTCTTTTTACGCATTTCAAACCTCTGATTATACCAAAAAAACTCTGCTATAGTGAACATCAAAAGAGCCCATGGCATGCCACCCAAAGGAAGTGAAACAATATTTTAAGCATTACATTTGTAATTTCCTTTTGACTAGTTGGTATAGATATGGCTGTATAAATTGTTGTGCAATATTTTCTTTTCTTGTAGCTTGCCACAACATTGGCAAAACAACTTGTACAACTTCGAAAAACAAAGACACGCAATCTTGCAGCCAGTGGAAAAATAACTGCTGTTGGTCATCAAGCAACAGCCATGCATGCTACTCATAAAATGGCTGGATCAATGCAAACAGCAACTAAGGTTGGGAAATTATTTTTTATGAGTTCTATTGAATGAAAAAAGGTGGGTTTGTTTGGTAAGGGTTGAACATTTTTGGTGAGATTTTCAAGAATCCGGGTGTAATAAATTTTAATTTTACCAACTGTATGAACCACCTTAAAAAATTTCATTGTACATCACAACAAATTTGATAAGGAGTCACTATGTTATGACTAGGAGCAAATACCTTGTTTGTGAAACAGAATAATTTTCAAAGAGAGTCGCTCACCCTCCAACATACCAGACAGATATGTCTGTTAGTCTATGCCTCAAAATATGCATTTAATTATTGAGTGAAAATCAATATTTTCTTGTAAATTGTAATTTTCAGGCAATGGGTGCCATGAACAAACATATATCACCAGAAGAACTGGCTAGAACACTTCAAGAATTTGAGAAGGAGTCTGCAAAAATGGATATGTCAGAAGAAATGAGTAAGATGCTGTATTGAATTATCCTACTCTATTTCTATCTGGTCTTAGTTGATACCCAATATTTTGTTCTGTTATCCAATATGAATTGAAAATATCTTTCTATTCATTAATTAAACATTTTGTTTTCAGTCACTGGTATTTTGAGCCAATGATTTTGTGAGACCCTGTGTGTTAAACAACAAATTGGGTTTAGGTAACTTGGTAAAAAAGATAATCAAAACCACACAATGATCATAATTTGTTCTTTGAATTTTTGCTGCCCTTCTGTAATAAGTATTGATTGAGATCTGATAAATAAACATTTATATTTTCATCTTTTCATTTCCTCTTTATAGTAAATGACACATTAGAATCAGTCTTCGATGAATCTGGAGATGAAGAGGAACAGGATGCTGTTGTCTCTCAAGTTTTGGATGAAATTGGTATTGAAATCAGTGGAAAGGTAATGTGAAAATTTCTTTTTTGAATAGCTTGCTGTAAGGGACACCTTAATTATTCTTAAATAAACCCCTTAAGATCATGAAATTAAAAAGAAAATAGATGACTCTGCAATAAGAAGTTTAGCTTTCGTTCCAATACCTCTGCTCCATTCACAAATAAAAATTTATCAAAAAAAGTCAGGTTTTGTTTAAAAAAACATTGCAGTGCACGAATATTTATTTTTCATCTGAATGGCAAAAGTTAGAGCTTTTGATGACACTGAATAAAGATGGATTAAATTTGATCCACAACTGGTATATCTTCTAACTTTACATTTTCGGTAATTATTGCAATGTTTTATACTCTGAAAAGAGTCAGTCCATAAGCTTAAGGATAGCTAAATTGTTTGCTTGAATTCAAAGCCATTTTTACTACTTTTAAGTAGGCTACGATTAATAGATTTCTTTGTAACTTAAAGGAATGTCTTTGTAATTTGAGGAGTGTCTTATTGTAACTTGAGGAGTGCCCCCATTTACTGTATTTTCCCCTACTCATTTACTGCAACAATATATATTTGGGTAAAATTTGCATTCAAACTGGAACTACAACAGAAAATGTCACAAATGTTTACGAACTGGACCCAAAATGGTTTCTAAATTATATTATGTGTCATTTAGTTGAAGAAAGAGTGTGCAAACATTTACAACCCAAAATAGCTTACTTTTTGATGGATACAATAACATCACTACCTTACATTTTTCAGCTGGCAGGTGCACCAATGGCTTCAAAATCATTGCCTAAAGCTTCAAAGGCAACATCAGATGAAGACAAAGAAATTGAAGATATGCTTGCCAAATTAAAAGCTACATAAAAATAACACTTATTTAAAACCATTTTTTTTTAAAAAGACACTTTTCCTCTTTTAACCCTTTCCTTGCCACGAGCCGCTTTAGAGGCTTCGCCTTGTTTCCCTGTAAACGCCACTGGCCGCTTTAGCGGCATTGATGACGTAATTCAGTTACATAACTTTGGCTTTGATTTTCTCAATAATGATGTTGCTATAGATACCTTTCATTCATTTAATCCTGTAGACAAAGGATGAAACCACAGGCACACGTGTTCTTTGTCACATGTTTCTATATGAATTTTCTGAAATATCAACCGTTGAACTTTGTTTTGAGTTAGGCCATGTTTGTTGAGCGAAGGAAGCATGGCGACGAACGACTGTAGTGCATTGAGTGATAGTGATTCTGAAAGTAGCGATTCCTCTGCTGCCGATATCGGAGATTTTAGTAGCGAATTTATCGATGAATTCTACAATGTTTTTGGAGATTCGGATGATGAAGAAGAGGAGTTTGAGGGATTTCGTTTCGAAATGCCGGAGGTCAAATGGGCGTTGGGAGGAAATGTGCGAAGACAATCAGCTGATGCTGAAACTGTAGATGAAAGGCCGAAACCTGCAGAAGTAGCAAATCTTTCGTTGGATGCAAAGCCAATCGAATATTTACAATTATTTTTATCAGATGAACTACTGCAAAGAGTTGTAGACTGGACCATTATGAACGCAGAAAAAAAATTGGGTGCAACCGAAGGAGAACGCTGGACTACAACCTTGGATGAAGTCAAAGCATATTTAGGTGTTGTACTAATTGCAAACAGTTTGCTAACAACACCCAGAAATGAAAGATACTTTATAGCAGACGAAAATAAATGGATCTTTCATACGAATATTTGCAAGGTCTTTTCAAAGAACAGATTTAGAGAAATCCAAAGATTTATCCATTTTTGCGATCCAAATATTCCCGCAACAAACGACCGTTTGTACAAGGTTAGGCCAGTTATTGACCATTTGCAAAAGAAGTTTCGAGAGATGTATGTTCTGGGGAGAGAAATGTCAGTAGATGAAAGCATGATCCCATTCAAAGGGCACATTGCTTGGACCCAGAGAATGCCGCAAAAACCGGTGAAAGTTGGAATAAAAGTGTTTGTTGTAGCAGACTCGCAAACAGGTTACTGCTGGAATTTCCAAATTTATACTGGAAAGGTAACAGACCAAGAAGATGATGTTGGAGACCTTGGCAAAACTGATCGTGTTGTGATCGATTTGGTTAAAAATTTAACCCACCAAGGACATCATTTATACCTTGACAATTTTTATACCAGTGTGCCCCTTGTTTTATTCCTGAAGAGCCAGGGAATTTATACATGCGGGACAATGAGGTCAAATCGCAGGTATTTTCCTATTGATATTCTCTCCAGAAATGCAAAATCGATGGCTAGGGGAGAATTCAATTTTGCATTTTTCAAAGGCCTAACTGCTCTAATGTGGAAAGATTCTAAGCCTGTCTATTTCCTGAGTTCCATTCATGATGCCACACTTGGAAAACCAGTGACAAGAAACTTAAAGAAGAACGGCAAATACGAAAAGGTTCAAATTGCATGTCCAATTCTTGTCAGTGATTACAACACAAATATGGCTGGTGTGGACAAAAGTGACCAACAATCTGTTGTGAAAAAGGATAAGAAACAGAAGACGTATTATATGAGAATATTTATATCCTTTTTCATGAAATGCATAAATAATTCTTATATAATTGAAGGGCATGTCAAGCCTCACGTTGTTCAGGGTAAGGCCAAGCGAGACCTTCTCTCCTTCAAAGAAGAACTTGCCATACAATTGGTTGGCAATGTCCGTGCAAAGGGGAAAGGAAGAAAAAGAAAGAGGACAGAGGAAGATAAAAGGCTACAGAATGTTGGGGCTCATCTGCCAAAAAAAGGCCAAGGCAAAGACCACAGATGTCTTGTCTGCAAGAGAAAAAGGCAGAATTGGATAAAGCAGAACCCAGATGCCGATCCAAAAAACTGCCCATTCAGTTTATCGAAAACAACTTTTTGCTGTGCAGGTTGTGAGCCACAGGACACTGTATACCTCTGCATAACAAAGGAAAATAACTGTTTTATTAACTATCACACCAAAGTTCAATTTTGGCTATAATAAGTGTGACTAATATCCTATTTTAACATTAATTCACTAATATATTTTTTATACTGATGTATTTTTTTACTGTTTTCTAGAAATGAGATGAAAGTTGCATTTTTGGATTCCTTGGGAATTTTTCTTTCTGTTAATATAGGGGTGTCTATACAACATATCAACTCCTTCTTAGTCAAAAATCAATTTGAAAAAGTTTGCTCGGAATTCTGTTTAAAGCCTCAGAAAATAGGCGTTTGAGGACTTTTTCGCAGGGGAATTCGGCAAGGAAAGGGTTAATAACCATTTTTTTTAAAAAGAAACTTTTCCTCTTTTAATTTTGTTATATTTCTGTCAATAGGTAAGTTTTTCAATGAATTGCACAAAGTACTAATTATCCTTTTGCAAACTAATAGATAAAATAAAATTTTCAGGTTTTGCTTATAAATTGTATGTGTGTGTCTGGATACAAAGAATCTCACTGATAATTAAAATTTTCATGCAATATAATCCCAGCTTAAGTATGACAAAAAACTGCTTGGTAATTTGAATGTTTCCTCTTTTGAAAACAAAACTTTTCCTTTCATAATTATTCTTGTTTGGGCCATTTTTGTTAATTCAAACTTTAAACAGGTTAAAAAGATTCTCTTGAAAGTCCAGTTATTTGACAAATAAAGGTGAATGTGAGCCCTGTATATGATTCGTACAAGGGGATGTGCCTGTTAGAAAGGTCACTGTCCTGGGCAAAACAGGGACTATATGATAGGGTAACCAGTTCATTTCCGTGAAACCCTTTCACCTCCAGATATCCATATATCATGTTGCCATCAGATATCCATTTGATTGAATGTAACCACATTGATGATGTTTATGTTTTTGTAGTGTTTGGTTTGATTTTGCAAAAACGAACTATTAGCCAATAAAATCATTCCATGACTACTAAACTGTTTCTAAATAATATATTGTAATGTCTTGAATATCTACAAAGTATAACAACACAAAATATGTTTCATCTGCTGTGACACTGCTTATTGTTTAGAAAAATATTTACAGGAAACCTCACAAGCATAAAGTACTAAGTTTAAAAACATCTCTTGTTGCATGAGTTATACAGTAGGCTATTGTTGCCATTGCTTACCCATAGCCTGACAGTTACACTGATAAGAAATTGCTCTCTCATTCTCATATCAAAGTTTAATGGCTCTTCAAAGTTTAATGGCTCTTACTCTCATTTTAAAGTTTAATGCCAGCATGGAACATCATAACAAAAATCCAATATCGTTTATGTTTTAATAAATGAGGTTGCTCTTATCTTGGAGTATGATCAAATGTTTCATTGCCTTACATATACCTTGTTTTCAAATAGGCCTGAAATTTTGCCAACAAGACCTCTCAAGGAAACTAAATACCTCCAACCTTGGTAAGGTTATGCTGGATTCCAGTGACTATCGGTTTCATTTTTCTGGTTTCCCATTTTTGAGCTGGTGCCAGAAGTTCAAAGTACAAGGAATCCACCATATTCTTGAAAAAGAGCATTATAAACACAGCGTCCTTTGGCCCAGAGATGGTCTTGAATTACTCTGAAAGAAGAGAATTAAAAAAAGTTAACAAAAAATCTTGGCATTTAATTTAGCCAACAATGTGCATTTCATGGAATATTTAATTCCTAATAATAGTTCTAAAATGTTCAAAATTGCAGATAGCTGCTTGTAAGGCTCATGAAGAGATGAAATGTTAATGTTCAACAAAAAAAATCCATGCTGATAACTAATTTTGGTAAGATAAAGTCATGTTAGGGATAGGCTCTGATATAAGAGAACAATTAGTTATTTTATTTGCCAAAATCTTTGCCAGATCAGAAGAATGATATCAATGAAATATTCTATCATTTTACATGATAAGCAATGAAACCCCACTGTATCAAGCCAGCTGAACTTTTTTCTTCACAGGATAGGATATCGTGCCAAAGACAGGGGACGAAAAATCCAGGGAATCTAGTGAAATCTATTGTTTTTGGGTTGTTTGATTTTTTTTTGAAGGGATGTCTCCACATGGAATAATTTTTGCCGGGAATGGTTTGCACTGAGATTATTACACAGGGGTGTGCAAGGCAAGGAAGAACGATAGAATACAACAATAAAATATTCCAGCATACTGTCCAGTGAAAGAACAAAAAGCATTTGACAGCAGGTGATTCAAGCATGCCAATATTATTAAAGACACACTCGTCCATGAAATTTGGCTGTAGACAACAAGATTCTAATGTCCTACACGGCCTAAAAACGTCCTGGAGACCCACAACTTTTGTATTGAAACCTTGGAGACCTATCAAATTTGTTACCAAAAAGAGATGGCTTAGCCTCTCCAAATTTGTCCATAACATCTAAATTTGTAACAGCACAAACATACCGCTTGTTGGGTAAAGAATACTAGAATACAGCATTCTGTGCAATTAATGAAAGTGAGGTAGGTCTTTAAATGAGACAAGGAAACAGACTGATTGGCGTAATTTTAGGGGAAAACCTTTAAAAAATTCAGTAGTGGGAAACTATAAATTGTGATCATTGAGTAAGGTTATACAGATTTTATGGCGCATTACTCCTGGAAAACAAATTCCTCCTTCATTTCAATTTTACACTGACATACTTTCAGATGTCATTTCCTAAAGTTTCCTTCGTGCACCATTCAGTGTTCCTTTGCTAGAGTTTCGAACTTTTTCTACATTCATTTTTCCGTCTGCTTTCATGTGAAAATCTTGGTAAAGGAAATTTTTTATCCGTGCTTTTCTCATACACCCAATGCTTTTTTTTTAATTCCTGCATAATATAACTAAATAAAACAAGTAAGTCAACTCTTCATTAATATTTTAACGGAGCTCGCCAATACCGATGTTGGATTGCGAACATTGTCTCAGTTTTCGTCGTAATATAAAAAACCCGAACACTTCGGTACGTGTCGTTAAATACTGGATGGGCAACGAATCAAATTCCAGGATCTGCGCTTAAAAAAATAGTGAGTCGGGAAGCTAGCATAGGTGTGCACCAAGAATGCATTCTCTCGTCATTTCTGTTCAGCACCTACATTAAACGTGGGGGAAAGATTTTATGATGCTTAGAAAAAATTCTTGGCTCATGGACTGAAAGTTCTGGCAGACTTGTTTTTTTTAAGATTGAGCAGCAGTAACCAGTAAAGATAGCGAGTAGCGACCTTTAGAGACTTGATGCGACTGGACTTATTCAGTGGAAAAGGAACATTCATATCGAAGGGAAAACAGGTTGAGCAGCATAGTTAGCATATGTGCCAGATGCAAAAAGAAAGGAAAATTATGAATAGCAGTGGCTGACCAAAGGAAAAGGAAAAGGAAAGGAAAAGAATAATAGACGGTTAGTACATTGCTATACGGAGTAGAGACGAGGACGCTATGCCAAGAGCATATACAGTGTAGAATTATGTTGCTCATGCTTAAAGCAATATTGTAAGACACTTTAGGGTCTGAATAGTGTTCAACAGTATAGTGTTTTCTAGGTAATGATTTTAAATTCTGATTGTAGTTAGCTTGTCCTCGCATTCTGTTAATAAGATGGATTTATCTAAGATTGAACCTGCTTGCATAAGATAGGCTTTGTTTATGTATACCAAAAGGTTCTAGATACAGTAGACAGGGTTTTAACAAACAAAATCTAGGTAAGAATCGGTTGAAAGGAATCCATCATAACTACAATCAATTACAGAAAGCATCAATTGATAGGACATACATTAAGACATGAAGACGTGACTCTTTGGTATACACCAATGAAGAAAAGATCAAACATTATCACCTTTAAGAAATACTTGGGGCTAAATCTCTTTGGTCAGTTATGTTGTTATTGTTTGAAGGTTTGTAATGTATGCAGCAATTCTCTCGCAAAAATACAAATATACTTTGAACGGTATGCGTGAAAAGAAACAATTTATTGTCGAGAAATTAAGATACAATTTTATTTTATCTTATTTATAGTTCAATTTATATTGATATATTAGAGTCTTAAGCTAAATTATATCAGGTGATCCCCTGAGAAAAAACCTACAGTCAATCAAAGTGCCTCTAGTTTGGTTTTAAGGCATGATATTTGCATGGTTCTCTAAAATCGTTTGGTAAAAGTTTACTGTTAAGGTTTGCAAGCAGCATAATGCTTGTTAAATTTTGTTATAGAATTTAGAGTCATTTATTCATCTATAAAACATGTTTTTGTTTATGAAAACTGCCTTGTGCGAGGCCCCTGTGTTCTATTCGGAGTACAACATCCCTGCTTTGTAAGTACATGAAACTTCGAGCTATGTTAAAGTGATTCGCATAACTTACCGAAAAAGGTGTCATGGCGCCGTGACTTTGGAAATAGCGGCGCATCGCCTCTCTAATGTGACTGGGTTGTATACTGTCTATGGTTGGTTCAATACTGCTTGCGTAACCGAACTACGAAAAAAGAAACCGTATCAGTATGTTAATCCAACAGGCCTGGAAAATCATTAGACAATTATACAACATTGTATATTATCTATGGTTGGTTCACTACTGCTTGTGTAACCGAACTACGAAAAAACAAACCGCATCAGGACTTCAATCCAACAGGTCCGGAATATCACTAGACAATGATGCAACATTTTTAAATACTGATGGCAATCTTAAACTAATTTTTTCATAGATTTTGGAAAGCTTCAAATTTCTACAGAAAATTGCAATACATTTGAAAATTTATAAAATTTATAGACAAACGAACCCTAGTAATCAAACAGAAACCCTAAAAGAAGAATGTCGGTCTACAGAAGAAAATAAAAAATTCTGAACAAGTAAAGAATGCCAATATATTAAAACGAACATAGATAGAAAGAATGGCAACAGAAGTGCAAAGAGAAGACATGCATAAAGCCAGTCCTGCAACATGAGAGGTCGTTATAGGCAGAAGCGGACTGGCCCACAGGGACACCTGGAAATTTCCCGGTGCGCCCTCTGCCCCAAATTATTTTTTTCAAAAACTTTCAAAAGGCAAATAATCTTCGCACAGAATTAAAATTGATTACAATCATCAATTGACCTCCTATCCAGAGTACGTTTGCATAAAAAGTTTAGCTTCACCTTTAAGTTGAGCAATATTAAGGTCAATTGTAAGGTTTCCCAATCTTTGCTATTGTTAATTAACAAAAAAAAGACAAAATGTTGATCAGCAAATTCTGCAAGATTTTCTGAAAATCTTGTAAAAAACATACTTTGTTATGAAAATAACTTTGAAAAAATGAAACATTTTAAACATACAGCTTTGTTGTCTGAAACTCCTCAGAGTATAAAGTGTCAAAAAATTGTCCAAAAGAACAAGATGGAAAACTCGATCCACAAATTGGTATTTATTCTTTATCTTGTTCTTTCAGACCCTAATTCTGACATTCTATACTCTGAAGAGGTTCAGAAGTTTTTAGTATAGATAAATTGTTTGCTTTGTTCATATTTTGTTTTATTGACAGCAGTAAATGTGGTAGCAGTCAGAAAGCCTACTTTCACTACAAACCTGATTAGCGTGTATTTTTTTTAAAGCAAGTACGCCATGCATTAATTCGATATCTGTTGAGGGGGTAGTAAAGGATTTCACTAGCTAACTAGCCAGACTATTTGCCAACTGACTAATGACTAATATATTCGTGAAACCAATGACTTATGACTAACCATATTATTTTTTTTACTTATGACTGATGCAAATTATTCCTAGTGCCTGATATCCAATAACTGAGGGCTCACACTTTGGAAAAATTAACTGAGCACTACCCTGTGCTCCTTCCAATCACCATGGTTGTAACTGGATAAAATTATCGATGTGTTGGGTATGGAAAGAATATTGGGTATTGGAACGTTCATATATTACGTAATCAAAGATGGGGAGGAGAGGGGGGACTTGCACGAATGTTATGGTTATTACGTTCATTATGGCACTTTGTTGAAGTTTGTTAAAATAGTTGTTTAGGGAGAAAGGGATTTTTCAAATATTGCCGATTTTTGATTGCGTAGTATGTGCACATTTATTTTGTTGTCTCTCTTGAATAATAGTCCTTTTTTCTTTGGGCCATGAACTACCCCTTGATAGTGGAAACTGCTCTAGGTACGATAGAAAATAATACTTTCTTAACAAGACTTCCGAGGCAAGCTATTTTATTTCTATTCTATTTTATTCAACTAACAACTCATAGTCATCTTGCTTTTTGTACGTTAAAACCAGGAGTTTCGTACCAAAAAGAAATTATGACTAACTGAAAAAAAAATCTTGTACAACTTTTAAAAAACTTTATGCAGAATTTGTTGAGGATTGATGTCCTCATGTAAGAAACTTCTGAAAAATTTAATAGAAAATTAAACCGGCTGTTTGGAAAAAACTGGTCTCAAATTTACAACTAGCTATTCAAGTATTCCATTCTTTCTTCAAATTTAAAGAATTTCTCTCCCGATATAGAGACTGTACTTTTTCTTGAGAAAATTCGCTATCCTTTTTACCATGTCTATGCACAGTTTCTCATACAGAAGGAGCCTATCAATGTACAAAGTCATCAATTTGCACAAAACGGATAACAGCAGAATCTCTTAGAAAACATTTGTCAAGATATTTTATCAGATATCTTTTGGACAAGTCTACAGCACATGTTCAATACCTTATCATAATTCCGCACGCTGATGTCTATCTTTTGCAAATGATTTGCAACCGTAGCGTAGAGGCAGGAGCAACACACAATCATTAAGCTAGCAGGTGCTGAGGCACCCCTTTACATTTTTCAAAGATATGCTGCAAAACTTTATTTAATAACTGTTTGATGAGCTAAGGCAAAGTTTTTCCGGGCCCGTTTTACAAGCCCAAAAGTTAATAAACTTTAGCAACTATTGGCGCCCTTTTGCTTGCTTTTCCCGGTAGGTCAAATGGTAGCCAGTCCGCCACTGGTTATAGGGACACTTGAAAGATGAAAGTAACACCCTGCATTAAAACCCAAACTAAAAGAAAGTCATGCTGTATGAAAAAGAAACAGAAATGTACTTGAAAAACAAAACAGCCTTGAAAAATGGTTTGAAAAAGCAGAAATTCTACAGCATACCTATACCCTTTCCGTTTGACATACCTTAGAGTATAAAACCTCAGAATAAGGTTCCGAATAAACAAGATGAAAAATATATTCCAAGTTGTGCATCGGAATGGGCCAATCAGAAACATGCGAGCACAAGACCGGCATAGTTGCCCAATCAGTACCGCGTGCCTATAGAAAAATCAACATTGGAGTCCGAAATTGAAAACGACCTCCTTCTGTCTACACAATAGCGGTGTTTTTATTTGCATGCAGATCGATTCCAAAACTGCTAGATGAAAAGGCGACCAGGCTCTGCCAATTATTGAAAACATATTGTCTTTATAAACTTTGGCAAAAGATATCTAAAAGATGTTGTCCGATGGCAGAATCACTTGTTTTAACGGTGTTTCTAGTGCAGCTTTAAAAACGGAAACTAACAGAGCCAAAACAAAGTTTTGAACAAATGAAAGTCTACTTGTTACTTTGCTTATGAAGCTTCGAAAGTCTAGCACGTATTGCAAATACTAGATTTCATTGAAGTAAATAAGACGTTTGCACAAAGATTCATTTCAAAATAAAACTTGAAGACATTCTTTGATAAATGAAGATATTGAGTCAAACAAATCAAACTCATAAGCTGCAAGTTAGATTGGTCTTATCTTCTTTTCACTATTAAAGGCATATAACAAGATTACTTTAAGTATGTTAACGATAATTGTAATTTAACGTTCCAATGTTAATTGCCGAATGATGTCTAAAATTATCTCTTGAAAACAGATCTATACTGTCAAAATCTTGTCAAGTTGATCAGTAAATCAGAGATCCTCCAGGCAGTGTTGTTAATTTGAAAAAATTGTCGCTCAGTTTGCAGATAGAAATTGCAAAAAGATGTATGCTGTCAAACCCAATCTACGCAACTATTATGCCTAAAGGAAACTGGAAACATATATGGAATACGCGATGTTATCACGTTTCTAGGGGAGTGGGCGAGCTCAGCGTATAGGGTAACTTTTTCAGACTGTTCTTCCGCCACGTGGCACATCTCCTGGCACCAAACAAGGGCCAGATAACATAAAAAGAAAATTCAATGCGCTCTCAGAAAGCAAGGAGGTAGCTGTCCGTTATTCCTTCTACCTGTTAAGTGCACCGTATGCGATGGAATTTCACACAGCTCCTATCACGTTTAAGGAGTGTGTGAAAATAGGTATACGTAATAGCGATTACCTCCCTTTTACGAAAAACAGCAAGACTTTATAATTCGTATAATAACTTTCCGCGAGTGGCATGCTTTCCTGCTCCTAAGCGCCTCATTAAAAAATGCAAAGAGGCAGTTACCCACATGGGCACAGTGGGCATTCAAATTTTGTTGGCTTATGATAACATTATCTGAAAAATTCAGAAAAAGTTGCCAATTTTACGAAATTTTCTAATAAATTTCAAGGTTCATGGTTGGAGAAGGATATACCCCCTGACCTTAGCCACTGCCGCCCATTAAACATTCCGCACCCTTTCCAACGTTGTTACATACGTACAATCGATTTCAAGAAAACAAAGAGTAAGCTACTTTCAACAATTACATTTTCCTCTAGGCCTTAGGCACCTTTGAACCCCAGTCTAATTTAATGACCTGGCCATAAACACATTTGCGAAGCACTAAACCATATGTACTGCCACGGTTTGGTAATGTCAACCATGAAGGAACAGCTGCTAAGGTAATCACAGTATAGTTAAAAAGATTATCGTTGGTCGCTCACTGGTATAATTTAACAGTTCAAATATTCTGCTTAACATTCAATGGAAGGAAAATGTGATTGGTTTTCAAACAGTCATTTAAATGTTATCGAGGAAAGGAAATGAGATAAATGAAACGAGATGAGAAAACAACCAAGGCGACTGGAGCTTGCCACGGTAACGAGGAATGTTTCAGAAAATTGTCTTCCAGCACTCATTAAGTGTTCCAGCACTTAACTTCTTAAAAGGCTGCAACTGACAACAGGTTGGTATTGTAAGAGTGAGCTATGTATAAAATAATGCAAAGACCTTGCGATGCCTGCCTCTGCTTGGTAAGGTTATATCAATTCTCAGAAAGCTCTACTAGCATAACCCCTTTGCATTTATTCGTCTGCATTATTGAAGACCAAAACGAGCAGAAGATTGGTAGAAATATCAATCTAGAGCATAACAAACAATCTGCTTGGTAATAAACTACGCCAGAAGACAGACAGCAAGTGAGGCAAGGAGAAAGAATGAAAATGAAACCTCTGACAATTCACTTATACCGTTCCAAACAGGATTGGAACTTCTTACTACAAATTGATGGTCGCCATCTTACCTCCTCGTATTAGAAGTCCGAGACTTATGGGGGCTGGGACCTAATGA